CCTGTGCTGACCTACTCCTCTCCTCTCTTCCCGACTGGCCGGATGCATGCTTTGGGATGCTTTTGGGGTCATGTCTCACTGGGATTACATGCACGCATATCTGCTTGAGATCTGCCTGTCTGTCCGTCTGTGTTGTCCCTCTAGCCTCCCAGTGTGTGCCTACGTATCCGCCACAAGGTCCGTCCCCTCGCCGATCACATACTGAGGCAGGCAGCACATGCATTTGACCCGCACATCAGTCAGGGGAACACGGGACTCTCACTCAGAGCGGACGGCACGAAAGCATGTGTGTGGCTGGCTACCTCTCTCTCTCTCTCTCGGTTGGCTGAGATCAGTTGGTTGTCTGGTGTGTTTGGCTGCGCGCATGGATGGCTGGTATGCTTCGCGTGTGCGTTTGACCGTTACCAGAGAGAGGACATCCGCACCATGACACTTTCGTAACAAGATACAAATCACTGTATATACAATAGATAGTATATGTCATGTGTATATTAATATTGATTGATTCAATTGTCGATTTGACGCATGACTGGCAATCAAATGAATGAAGCCATGTGGTTCCTGTATTGTATTTAAAATAGGTTCAATCCTGCTTGGTATTGCCTGCGGCCGGCCAGCTGTGTTAACTCTTGGCCTGACAAACCCTTAATCCCAGCACTAACCTTGCACACTGCCTTCCCACAGGAGTGACACGCATTGCACCGACACGATCTCACCTTGTTTACCTCATTCTTACTCCCGTGGATGGCACAATTGTGGTCTGCTTGTTGAGGTTTACATTGGGTTGCTTTTTTTGCTGCTGCTGCTGCTGCTGCTCCCGCCCTCCGCATCGGTCTCGCGAGGCACCTTTCGCACGGCGGCCTCGATGATTTCGTTGACCTTCTCCATCCACTTGCTGTGCGGGAAGGGCTCATTGCTGTTGCGGTCGATATCCTTGCTGTGATACAGCGGATGCACCACTACGGCGTGACCACCCAAAATCAGGACGAAGAAGGGCAACTGGGTCTGTGTCGTCCACGCCATCGCTTGTCAATGGATGAAAACAGAGGGAACGTTGACTGGAACTCAACCGACAAGCGAAACTGGCAGATGCGACGCAACAAACGACAAGAGACCCGCCGAAAAGACGATGCGAGCTTGATAAGTGATTTACCACCTCCTTCATATTGAGCAGACCCTCCTTAAGCACCTGCCACCATAGTTCAGTAGAAAGCGTGAAGAGTGGAAATACCACCACCACACCACAGAGGGCAAGCCTCGCAGGAGGACGGTATATGGGAATTTACAGTACGAGCCAAATAAACGAACGGCTGAACCTGCTAACGGTCAACTCTCACAGGGAGAGTGGACGGGGTTTAGTGTCAACGGGCGTGGCTCAAAGAGGAGAAGAAGGGAAAATAGTTGACGGTGTGGCTTGGCTCAAAGAGGAGAAGAAGGGAAAATAGTTGAGTGTGTCTCAAAGAAAAGAAGAAGAAGAAAGAAATAATTGAAAAGCAAAAGACGACGGACATGAGATGGAAAATATACCCGTGACAAATGAGAAAAACAAATGGAGAGTGTTGTGCGGCGAACCCATGATGGTCCCTCCTCTCTAACCCGTGAGGGCTGCGGCTTCGAGTCGCCTGCCAGCGGCCGAGGAGACGAGGCACGGGTCGTCATGTAGACAGACAAACAGACACATACCAAGGCGACTCATGTACCTGTCGAACGCCAACGCCGCTTCTTGTCGCGAGTGTGTCTCCCAGCCAGGCATCACCCGCCGCTTCTTCCTCGTGGCCTGACAAGTGATAAGCTGACCAGCTGTGTGTATGCTATTGACGGGGCTCATCTGATAGGACAAGGCAGGAGGACAAGCCAACAACGCATGACTCCCCCCCCCACCTACACATTGTGTGCGGTTTCTGACTGGCCAAAGCCACCACGGAGCCACACCGCCGCTGATTCTATGCACGTTCTCCAACAGACATCCACCGCTGCAGGAGACCCAAGGAAGAGGAAGATGACGACGACGAGCAAGCCCCGATAATCGAGCCTCCGTCACCCCAGGGCTAATCTGGAGGAAGGCTGAGCATCCCTTGCGCCCTTCTGCGGCGGAGGGCGGTGCTTTCACTGGCCGTCAGGCTGCTGCTGGTTGATGGATTCGAGTGAGTGCTTGTCAGGCTGGTCATTGGTAGGATAAGGAAAGCGTAGCGTTGTGCCAGGGCTTTGCAGAGCGTAGATAGATCATCAGCTCATTGTTTCCTTTCGCAGTCTTCATGCACGCATCGCCCCCATTGCCCCCATTACCCCCATTTCCCCCATGTCAAGCTAGCCGTCTCAGCTAGCGTAGTCAAACTAGCCAAGATCTTTGGAACTCGGAATTGAACCCGCAGAACTCGGCACAGACCTTTCTCCCTCCTTTGCGATTCAATTTCCCCCTTTCTCCTGCTGTCGTTTCGTCGGTAGATGTGGTTCTCCCGCCTTCTGGCGGACGCGATAGGAGCGCTCCCTTGCATCGACCTGGGACGTGTCGCATTCCCCGTGACCGGCGACAGGTCAGTCTGCTACCTACACAAAGATAGGATGCAGGCAGGGGCCAGATCCACTCACCACACCCACACACCACACACCACACCATTCCATGGTCTTGATGGCATCCTCACGTGACCTGGCCCGGCGAATGGACCCTTCGTGACCCTGACTGTCTTCCCGACCCTGATTCGTACCTGCACGGAACGTCCCTGCCTGTTTTCGTCGGCTCTCTTCGTCTTGCGGCTCTCGGGCCCGGCTGACCTGGAGATCTGCGCCATGTGTGACCTTCCCGACACGCAAGGCAATCGTCCCTGCCCCTGTCGACACGCGCCGGCCCTGTGCTGCCGGCGCGGAAGGCGCTTCTTGACGACAGATCTCTCTCTCGGCCGGCTACCCGTGCACTGAAGATCTGAAGATCCGTGGCTCTGGCGGCCTTTCACACGCGTTGGGCCTCACGGTCGACACTTCATACACCTGCCCTGGGCTGTCTTGCCCTCTCCCGGTGCCTCTGGCGCTGGATGCCGCCGGCCGCTGCTGTGTCTTGGTTCGTGGATTCCCTCTTGCTGCTGTGTTGTGGAGCTCTGAATGTTCGTACGGATGACGGTCATGTTCCTGCTGCTTGGATGAGGCGTACATGGACGCGTCGCTTGCTGACGCCGTCCTTGCGTCTCTCTTTGCCTCCGTCAGTGGGGGCTCTGCTGACATCATACTCATGGTGGTGTATCCACGGGATGGGGCTCATCGGTCTGTGTTTGGATGAGGGCTGCCTCGTCCCTGCTGTCTGCCTCTGTGGATGGACGCCCCTGTGGTGTCCGAATCGTCGCTTCTGGATGTGGAGATGCCGCCCTGCAGCTCGGCTGCTGGGCTCATCTTACTCTGGGGCGTCTGCCCGCCCTCCGTGGGCCTGGTGGGATACGGCTCACCTGTCCATCTGTCTGTATGCCCTCCTTCGGGCCTTGTGGAGCAGCGTGTTGCATATCTCTCTTGGCCGCCCTCCTGGCCATATCGGTCTACACCCACAATAGCTCGCACCTCCCCGCTGCTGCTCCGCGTTGGTTCGCCATCCTGCCCGTAGGCATGTCTACCCGCTGTTCGCTCATCGACTCTCTCTACACATCTACAAAGGTCCGCCGCACTGCCTCCCCTCCGTCTGCACGGGTCGTATGGTGGCTTCCTGCTCTCCTTGCTGCTTGCCGGAGGCGTGTGAGGCACATGTGGGGTGCACGTGTGCCTGTGAATGAGGACGGGAGCTCGAGTCCGGCGGCCCGCGCTCACCTCTGCGTGCTCTTCCTGCCTGCCTGCGTGTGTTCGCAGCTTTCGTAACCTGACTTGTACCCTGTTTCGTACCCTGGCTTCCTGGTCTTATGATACGCGGAGGTACGCGCGCGCTACAAGAGGAAATGAGAAATGAACACGTGGTAAATGGCAAGACAATGAGCAGATGGTGGCAGGGTAGGTGGAGAACATCACATATTCTCACGATGCACAGCGGTGAATTTTAAATACTTTGTTTAAGACAACTAAAAAATATCTGTTGCTTTTTTGAATTTTGCCATATAAGTATTTCATTAACTCTATATCATGTTTAATAATTTGCTTCAACGATTGAAAAAAATAAGAGTACAAAAGATGATAGTAATGATGGAAAAATACTCTATCAGTTCTATTTGAAGCGTTGAAAAAATGCGAAAATAAAGAATGCGGAGCAAGTGGCTCGGCAGATAGAGCGTGCAGTCAATACAAAAATACAACCAAAGAAAAAGTAGTATTTATATATATAATATTAATGAGATGCACGAAAAAATACGGAACTGCGAGAGCTATTTAATAAGATAGCGGACGAGAAGAAGTGCTTGATATTATTGATTACGGAACGCATAAATACCGGGAAAACCCTAATTGCATTATCATTGTATCGGTATTTGCGGGATAGAAATAAGTTTGATGATGAGCTGATAGTGACAGTTCAGCCGGAATTGTGGTTGAAAAATGGCGTGAAGCGTCACAAAGTTTTAACCAAAATAGCAGAAGAGCAGATTAAAGCGTTAGCAGAGCATCAAGAGAAGACAAAAAAGCGAAGACGAGTGTTTTTAATACTTGATGATAGTATTGCTACGATGGACGATACGAGAAGTAAGGAATTTGAGAGATTACTTACTATTGTTAGACACATGAATGTGAGTATTATTCAGATAAGTCAGTCTGTAAAAAGAGTTTCAACCTTAACAAGAAGTATTTATGATTTTGCATGTGTGCTTCGCCAATGTGGCCATGCCAGTCTTGCAAGTCTTCACGAAGAGATACTTAGTGATGGCAAAAAAAATTTTCAGAATTTTGTAAATATTTTGATAATGCTACGAATAACTACTGCTTTATTTCAGTGAATGCACGAAGTCCTCACACTAATAAAGGAAAATTACTGTGATTATGAATCCTTTGCGGTAATAGAATAAATTAACGTGGAATTTGCAATAATGGTTGTATGTTTTCTCCTACTCTTGGCCCTCTTGTCGTTTCATGTGTTGTCGGTGGTTGATAGGCTGGTGCAGGAGGGTTTCATTCAGGTGGAATGTCAGGTAGTGGCTCCGGTGCAGGTGGTGGTATTTGTCTTGCCCCTCTTTCAGGTTCTGGTTGATAATCGGGTGGAAAATTAGTTGGTGGTTCGGGTGCTGGTTCGGGTAATATAAGAGGTGGCGGTTCAACTGGTTCAGGTTGTGGTTCATAAAGCGTTTCTTCTAATGGTTCGGATAAACCTCCACTAGCGGGAGGAATTTGTGGTGGGGGAGGAGGTGGTGGTGGTTGCTGTGGAGGTGGAACATACCCAGCATTAATTAATTGGTCTTGTATTTCATCACTATCCGCTACTTTAAGAACCTCTTGAACAGAAAAATCAACATTAGCATTCTTACCCAAGAATTTTTGAAAAAATGATTCAATGGTTGGATTATTTAAATTTGATGAATAAACATTAAAGCCATTATCTCTATTATTTAATGCACCTTTAGTATATCATTTCTTTTCACTGTATTCATAAAAGCATCAAGGTTGTTTTCTTTATTAAGTTCATTCACATTAATCGTGCTTTAAAATTATAAAAAATATCTTCATCCCAAGTAAATCCTTTTTTCTTGTTAATAGGAGGAAAAGTAAATAGCATTTGTCCTTCTTTCAGTTCAAGCGGTATCTTAGTAACTTTGTGTAGATGTTTGTTTTTCTCTTTGATTATTTACTTGTTTACACATTTTAAACTGTTTAGTGTGATGATTTATGTTTACTATTTAAAGAAATGTTGGTTTAGCTTACTTACTCGGTCAAACCTTACTTAAATCCCTGTCCACTCCACATACTCATCCTGTCCATCCAAAACCCTTAACCCCTCACAAGGAATGCACTTCGAACCCTTATAGCGAGCTTTTAAGCGAGCTATCAGGGTTCCAAGTGCATTCCTTGTATACACAACAAGAATCGAAATCAGGCTACGACACTCTCGTGAGTTTTCCTCGTTCTTCAAACTACTGTACCAAAGAAGAGGCCCTATCCGCTTCATAGACAGAGACACTGCAATCGGCTGGATGGATGAAAACACAGTTGTAGTGCGCCTGGTTTCATAAGCTCACTGAATTCTTACATGTCAACCATGCATGGTTGCGCCAAGCAAGTGCGCAGCAACCAGTCGACGATAGACACGCTACGCACATGGTGATGGGTATGTCTGATCGCCGCACAGCTTCAAGTGGTCGCACGCAAGGCCGGCACGCGTTAATATTGATTCACACATCACTCTCACATATCAAGGCCCACAAAGGGAGGGAGACGAAAGAGAGAGACACCGTACATACCATTAATCTGTCCTCAGTTTTGCCTTCTGTGTCCGACGGTAGTATCTGCCCACGGTGGCCAGCCCACTACTTCCCTCATGACGAATTATTTCACGCAAATATGGCCACACGTCTCGGCTGCACCGCCTCTCGCGTAACAAATGGCCCTGTTTCAGGCAACCTTTTCTGAGAGCATCGTTGTCACGGGGCGTTGCCGTGATGGGACTGGGGGGGACCATAGCGCGACCGTCATCATATGCGAAGCCTTCACGTGACGGCAGTCGCCTATTTTTCTTTTGCTCGAGAGGCCACTGGTCTCCTCCCAGCCTTTTGTGGTCAGCTGGTACCGGAGTCGATCGACTCTCGCCCTGTGGCTCTCGGCCGCCTGTAGGCGTCCAGGGCCCGACACATTGGTCCTCCTCTTCCCTGATGGCGGACAGCTGCGGGTGAGACAGGGTGCGCGAAGGGGAAGGGAAGGGCCGCTCGATGCCCCTCTGTCGGGTGCGATCAGTGGCTCGCCGTGCCCGCTCGATGATCTCCGATCTTGTTCGTTTGTATCTATCCCTCAATCGCTCGGGGGAGAGTGGAGGGGCGACATGCCGCAGCCGTCCGGCAGAGGGCTGCTCGTGGATGAGTGGCCGTGTCGGGGCGGGGGGAGGGGCAGGCACGAAGGGGACGCCAAGCTCGACTGACGAGATCCGAATGTAGCAGTCCTCGCACAGAGAGGCGGAGCGGAGCAGAAAGAGAGGATCCTGACAAGAAAGTGCATGGGTACGAGCCCTCAGTCTCCTGTGCTACCAAAAGTGTGCGCACATGTTTTCCTCACCTCCTTGTGTTTGGCATAGTCGACATTGTGCAGCCTCGGATGCTGGAGAAGCGAAAGAGAGAGATTTTTAATGACCAAAGGGCGCGAACTGATCCCTACCAGCTGCCGAATGAGCAAAGGGACCTGTCTGTTGTCCGGGCGGACACTGGTTTCTCGTCTCATCTGCTGTCGGAGGGAAGGGACAGCCTCCCGCAACTGGTCATACTTGATCAACATTTGATACGACAGCTCGAAGACGCTGCAACGAGAGATGGATGAATGCCGTAGCAAAGACGAGGCTGCTTTCTGCGCCTCTGACCTGTCGGATGCGACGACTGACCGACAAAGGGGGCATTGACGCATCTCAGTGCGTCCTAAGGCGTTCCTCCCGTTCAGCTGACAGTATCAGCAAAGAGGCAGAAGAGAGAGACATCACACATACCATAAATCTGTGTCCAAAAGTCCGCCTTCGCATCGACGGAATGCATAGCCTCGCTGCCGCTCATCACTCTCACTCACCCTGACGTGCTGGGGCACGCCGATGCGGCACCGCTCCTCTAGTGGAGACGACTTGAGCACCGTCAGTCTGGCCGCACCCTCCTGTCCCAGACCGATACCCTCATCCCTCCTGGGGGCCTCGGATGCCCTACCGTCTGTGCTGATCAGGTCTCTGGCGGCTTTGTCTGGCGATGAGCTGGGGGGACAGATGACCGATGGGGGATGGGCTGAGGCGACACGGAGGCTAGATATCCACAAGAAGAGCAAGCGATGATCGCAGTCGACCTTGAACAGCACAGCCATCCTTGCCACTCGCTTTGTGGCTGCCATGGTAGCCCCCTGTCTCAACCCGGCCGTGAGGCGGTCGGCAATTGCGTGGGCGGCCATATGGATGAGATGCGGCAGCGACTCACCTCGGACCGGCCGACTGTAGGATAAGTGATCCGGGCCATCGACTGTGTTCATACAGGCAGGCAGCCACGTATAGTGTACGGAAGGTCAAGTGGTGTATCCGTTGCGTACATGTGAGGACTCGTTGGTAGAGATCCGCTTTCGTGTCGCTGAGCGGCAGACGATTAGACCGCTGCTCAAGGAGACACAACTGCAAGAACGAGGCAAGAACCTCCACATTGGGAAAAGAACACCATGGGAGCCACTTGTTCACCTTGTTGCTCCACAGAGCCTGTATGACGGTGTGGTGCTCATTTCCGCAATCAATGAATTTCTGGAGGATGCCGGCCGGCTTCTCTCGTCTGTATAAAAACGCCCGGAGCTGGCCACGGTCGAAATACTGACAGACAGGGGAGACACATGGCGAGTCGATCAGTGTACTGGTGTGTGGACTGTCACTGTCTGACAGTGTCTGCCTCACTTCGACGGTTGTGTGTATGACGCCATCGTCTTGCGGTGTGTTGAGCACAAAATATGCAACCACGCCCGACTTTGACACCTGCACAGAAGATGGAAAATGTTCTCATTTGGATCCCTACTTCCACTTCGAGCCACTCACCCGTTTGTTGAAGGCTTTCTCGATGTTTAAATTGGTCAAATTTCCCTTATTTTTGCGTTTGAGTGACCCATCAGCCCCAGTGAAGTACCAAGCGCTCGCCTGCCCGTACTTGAAGACAACCGTGTCAGGAATGACGATGTCTGCCGCAGCATCTCGAGAAGCATCCGAGTCCACGCTGTCGCCGTCACCCGTGAGAGCTGCGGACGACGATGCGTGGCTCCAGAGAAGCCCATAGACGCCGTCTATCAACCCGTCTCCCTGCAAAAACTTAATGCACATGGAGTTACGATTCGGAACATCACCGACGCGTCACTGCATGTCCATGGTTTTCTAGTGCGTGTCCTCACCTCAATGCTTGTGTTCTGCATCTATGATGTTCCACTGTTTTTCGTTTCCCGTCCTAACCCACCCTGGTGACACTCGTGGCGGAGAAATGTCAAAGAAGGCGTTTCCGCAGCTCTGCACGACAGCCGCCATCTCACTCACTCTCAAGGAGGTGAATAATCCGCTCAATTTCAGTGGGTGCTGATCTATCTGTTTGTCGTCTGTTAGCACGCCAGTCAGGTGCTGAGGGGTGCGCCGGGAGGGCAGCAGACACACACGTCGCCCTGGCACTCGCTTTATGGTACAAACAAGAAAGATGCTCATCGCATCGGTCAGTCAGAACGCTTGTGTGTGCCTTCTGTGTCTGTCAGGTTATCGAGTGACGCTGCCATCGGTCGGCCGTCAGTGGTCTTTTCTTCCCTCCCCGGCCTCCCCTGACCAACCGCAGGAACCTACAGGTAGACATGTACGCAGCCACCAGTGAAGCACACAATGATGGTGGCTCGGTTGTCTGTCTGTCAAGGTGTTCGTGTGGACGTGTTGCGCACCCCTGCCTCCTTCCCCGCCCACTATACAGTGCCCCCGGCCACTCCGCCAGTTAATGGGGCGGCCTCGCCTTCACCGCTCTATCGCCTTCGAGTACAGTTGGACAGCGGAGGGGGTGATGAACAGCCGGAGCACTATGCAGCGTGTTGGTCATTCGGTGGGTCGTCGCCGTCTGAGAGTTCTGGCGTGCTCCAGATCGCCCCTGTGAGTCATGAGGACGAGGACGGCAAAAGTGAAGCGCCTGGTGGTGGTCCTACTGAGGTAAGAAAGTGCGGACATTTCCCTGTAACGAGGGATCGCTTCCTGAGTGCCTCATAGGCGTCGAGCATATCGGTGTCCATTCGCAACGATGGCGGCCAGTGTGTAGTGCATCTGGAGCCCATTGACGACGCCTTGCTGTCTGCTGCCGGTGAGGTGTGCCTGCCTGTGATGAGAGACTACAGCCAGGTGGAGCATGACATCGCCAGTGAGGAGTGGACCGAGGACACGTCGGTCCAGGGTGCCGAGGGGGAGGGAGGGGTGACCATCCTGCCAGCTGGAGGACTTGGTGGGGCTCCTGACAGGCCCGGCAAGGTGAGGTACACTCATGCTACACACTGGATCACCATCCATTCATCCGTCATCCGCTCTGTTCTGTGGGCAGAGCCTCTTGGGCTACGTGTATATTGACATTGGTGAGGCCGGTGAGGGCGTGGAGGTTCGCGCGACGATGAACGGCAAGGCGGTCAAGGTCCTGGTGGACGAGGGGCAGCAGGTCAAGCAGGGCGACGGTGTGGTGGTGATTGAGGCCATGAAAATGGAGACCATCCTGCGCACACCGGCCGCTGGGACCGTCACGAGTGTGCGCGTGAGGGAGGGAGACGCTGTGACGCACCAACAGACGGTCGTCACCGTCAAACCTGACACACAATACAAGAAATAGATGAAATGACTGGCAGATAGACAGCCAGGCGGCAGAGGGGGAGAAGGGGCAGGCAGCATCGCGTGTGGGTTATTTGTGTGAGTGGTGTATGCGTGTATGTCAGACCAATTCATGACGCTGAGTTTCTGATCAAGGGTACATGGACGTGTCCCTCGCACGCAGTTTCGATCCCATCCTACGTTCGTGCTCTTCCTACACTGATGCAATTGACCAATGCCGGTCGAACAAACGGTGCTTCCTTCTTTTCGTGTGTCGTGTACTTTTCCATTCCAGATATTAATGAATGGGACGCTTTAATGTCGTGATCGCACTCATCGAATGACTGCGTTCAAGCTGCCCCAAGAGCAAGATCAGATGTGCGTCCGGCACCATCTTTGCACTTTTCGCTCCCTTTGTCTGACTACACATGGGTCCATCAATGTCTAGCCATTCATCTGTCCGCCTGTCCGGTGTCTGGGGGCGGTACATACGGTTCTCCGAATGGCCGCCTCCTCAGCTCTTCCATCCGCCGCTTCGCCAGCACCCGGCTCGTCTCTTCAACACTCATGCCATCCCTCAACCCATCATCAATGTCATCATGTCGTCCCCCTTCCCCCTCGGAACTAGATGGGCGCAGTCCGTAACCCAGATTCCTCAGCACACGTTCGCTCACACCGACGTGCTCCACAGGCGTGCTGTCACTCTCGGCGTCATCCTGCAATTGCTGCCGGCGCCTCCTGGTCGTCATGTCAGCTGTGGCGTTGAGCACGGCCGCCTCGACGTTGGCCATCTCGGGGAGCGACATGAAGTGCTTGAGCTTCTTGTAGTCCAAACGGTCTGCATCAGGCAGGCCCATCTCTTTGGCTTGTTCCTCGAGCATCTCGGGCTGCACGAAGCGCGCCAGGTCGGGCAGGGACGGGAGGGACCGCTGCATGGCCTCGAACGCCTTGTTCTCGGCCTGCTGCAGCCGCTCGGGCGGAATGAGGGGCGGCATGCTGTCGGCCAGCTCGGCGAAGAGCTGGTCGAGCTCCGTTTGGGAGGGCTCAGACTGAGATGAAGGGCCCGTCTGCGGTTGTTGCTCGCTATTCATTCGGTCGAGCTCCTTGGTGATTTCTTCCACCTTCGCCTCGATGGCTGCGGCCTCCTCGGGTGACATTTGTCGGTCTCGAGCGCGGCTGTGGGCCTCCAGATCGATCTTGAGCAGTTCGGGCTTCTCCTGCTTCAGACGCTCAAACTGTATACGATACGTGACACACAGCCACATGCAGACGAAGATTCATTCGACGCGGTTGCTGTTGCTGTTGGCTCACTTGTGCCCTGATGCTTGTGTCTGCGCCTGCATCGAGGTTGACGCCACCCTCAGAGACGCCTGTGGTGGGGCTGACCAGCAGATACAGCTGGTCTGGAGAGAACTCACTGACACACAAGGATGGGGGAATACAATTGTAGAGTGACCACATGTGGCATGGCGATGTTAAGTGAGTGAGCGTACTCTTTGCTGTATTTCTTGGTCATGAACCAGTCACCCAGCTCCCGAACGTCCGTCACGTCGTCGACCTGATGGAACCAATGAAATGACCCACACACATACACATACACATACACATACACAACCTCCTGGCGGGTGCCTATGTATGTCTACCTTATCATGGACCCTTTCAGTGGCCCTGCCCATGACAACCACGCCTTTGTCCTGGTTCAGCACGCTACCCATCGCCACCATGGGATGCGTAGAGTCGACCAGCAGACCCCGAAACACATACGTCGTCGACGGGAACCGAACATTGCCTACATGAATTGTCAGCCTGGCACACTCACACAGACAGACGAACAGACAGACAGACAGACAGACGGACGAAAAGATAGACAGATCTCGCTTGCAAGGAACACCGATCTGGCAACACCGTCACCCACCTGGCAGCGCCCTCTGATGTGGTGCCGAGTGTCCAGTTGCCCTGCCATGATCGAGCTGGCAGCCTCGCAGTGCCGCCCTCCATCAGTGACAGACGGTCAGACAAACCGATCGGAGTCGTCATGTCGGGATCCTCCTGCACAGGACAGTCGTTGATCATGTGGATGCTCTTGTGTTGTCGTGTGCTTACTCGCAGTCTTTTCTCGAGCTCTGCGGGTGTGAGCATGAGTTCTCTCGGCTGGAACACATCCCATATGCCGATCACCGCCTCCTCAAGCGTCGCCACCTCCGTGCTCGTCGTCACATTGCCGCCCATCACAAAACCGCCCATTCCCAGGCCGCCCGCTCTCCCAAGCGATGTGCGGTCGTCATCGCTGCCGCCCGGCCAGATGGACATCTCCATTGCCCTTGTTCTCCTCTTTCCACGCAGCACGCTTGCATGAGGTGGTCGAAATGAGGGATGTCGCATGATGAAAGACGGTGGGAGAGATGCCGCTCGTGAGCGCACGGCATCACTGCCGGCAGGCCACCTGGTGCTGAACAGGGAGCAACCGATGGCGGCGAAGATCTTCATACTTCGAGGTTTAGCGCAAGCGGTGCCGAAACAACAGGAAATAATGGCACAGTCCGCCTTCTTCCCTCAATCCCCTCCGGGGTGGTTCGTTAAACACAATAACCAACCAACCAAGCTACTACACTTGGCCCACTCCTCGCTAACAGGCGGTAACAGACAGTCAGGTAGAGGTGTGTGTATTTTGGTGCTCTCCAATCAATTTATTCGAGCCACCAATCCACACACTCATGCGTCTTTTTGCCCCTCGTTGGAAGCGGCGGGCCGTCTTATGCTTCCTTCTCCCCTTGAACCTGTTTGACTCTGCGTGCTCATGGGACTGTATTCATTTATGAGTGTCACGGACACACAGACGAGTGTTCCGGTTAATGCAGGTCGTGATTTTGGCCATCACTGGAACGTTGTCATAATGGTGCTGTCTGCCATCCGTCGAGGAGTTGCTGCACGTCTGCATCGCTCCATTTCTGACCGCTACGGCACCCGAGACCTTGCAGCTTGGTCAGGAAGGACTTCTCCTCACGCGTATAACCCTCGGCGGCCATGTCACGGCGCAGGTCGTCATAACTGCGCACATGCAAAGCAGATACCGGCGAGCGAAGAAGTCGACCAGACATCAGCGACTTACCTGATGGCGCCGGTGGCGTTCTCCATGACGCTAGAGAGCTCGAGCAGCCGCTTGTCCTCGTTCTCGGACCACCCACGTGCCCTCGTCCTTTCAGCCTGAAACGACCGTAGCCAGTCGGGTTGATCGCTGCACACACACACACCATCACAGTCAATAGACGAAGCAGCGCGAGACGTAAATACTTGCCTCTCCATGTCAGCGGGCCGGGTGCCAGCGATGAAGTCATCGATGAGCTTGCCAGTCGCAGCGGTCGTCAAATCGACGGCCGTCCGCCACTCGGCTTCCCGCTGCTCCTTGTCGTTTTCCACCCCCACCCCCTTCTCGACGGCGTACTGGTGGCATGACTGGCTGCTGGACAGCTGACCATTCCTCAGGTTGCGTGCGACAAGCGGCCACTGACAAGCAACAGCACATGCTTCCATCGGTTGTCGTGGCTCGCTTTGTCCCTACCGGGAACCCCGTGGCCGTCTGTGCGTGCAGCAGCTCATCCATCGACGCCTTCGTCTCGTACAGGCCTCCGGTGGTCTGAGGAAGGGGCACACATGTGATTCAATGTCGCCACACATGTCTTCACTCACCCACCAGATCATGCTGGCGAAGGCCGCCCATGATCTTTGGCCATCGCTAGTCTTGTGGAATGTCCTGTATCATCTCTCTCTCGCGGAGGCACGCCTCGGTGCGTCCCTCGAGGTCGGTGTCTGGACGTCGTCGATATAAAACTCGATGGCAGACAGCAGCCAGGCCAGCGGCCGTGCGTCCCTCCACTTGGTCGCCAGGCTGATCTCGGTGTGCAAGACGTCGTTGGCGAACTGAATGGCCTCATCCAAATACTCAGTCATGCTACATACATTCAAAACACAGGTCGACAGAGAGCAGAGAGGGTGTGAGGGATCAATTCTGGCTCGTACCGGTTCTCGGGTGGCGGACCCGCCCCCTTTACGCTGCTGTGGGACGTGCCGACGTACATCATATCGGCAGTCTTGAGACCGGCCGAGAGAATTTCCCGGAGCTCGTCGGTGATCCGAAGGGGGACGTCACAAGCCTGCGGAATGGACAGAAACAGGCAGCCACGCAGATGAAGGCGGCCACAGGATAGTGTCATTGGCGTCGCGCACCACAAAGCCGTAGTTGACAATGGCTTTCTTCCCCCAGAGAAGGTGAAGGGCCCTGTGTGGGCGACGTATGAGCAGTTCGGCAAGGGCTGGAATGAAGTAGTTGAAGCGAACCACCCTCCTCCTGCTCTCTCCCTGTTCTGAGGCAACGCTGAGCGAGGTACTCAGCTGTGCAATGACGCCGGTCAGTTCCTGGGCGGCGTTGAACGTCATGGGCGGGAAGTCGGGATGGAGCACATTCCACCAGGCGACAAGACGCTGCGGACGGCCATCGTAGGGCGGATGAGCCAGGTGAGAGTCCATCTCTCGAAGCTGCGCCAGCCTGAGCTCTGTCGTACAGCGCCCTCGCTTCTTGTACAATTATTATTTTTGTACTGCTATTTCATTTCCTATCCTATGAAGTCCGCATACGACGATTGTAGAGGTGGCAGCGACGGAAGCACGGTTGCTAGACGCCGCAACGCAACTACGACCACAGAGCCAAGTTGTCGGCAGGAAGGTGGCCACGTACGAAGATGTGTGGCACCGACGTTTGCCCCTCCGCAGCGGTCTGTCCGCAGCGCAGAAGCAGAACGGCAACGCCTTCGTCGACGATGGCGGCAGTCCCCTCGCCGCTTGCCCCCCTCGCCCACCCTGGCCCTCCTTCTGCTCTCACATTCCATGTTGGGCGTCCTTGTGACGTGTGGGGAGCCGAGTGAGGGCCTGCGTGCCAGTGAGCTCATGTACGACAGGCGGGGGCGGTCGATGGGCCCTGTCGATGGGATGCTAATGGACGTCTTTGAGCTGTCGTCATTCGGCCAGGTCCAGAGCAGCAATGTGGGCAGGGCCGCGGCAGCACAGGCAGTCATCACAGGCGGACACGCCGACCTCATCAAAGTCAACGACGGTAACACACACAGGAGAGAGAAAGAGAGTCCGCCAACCATCCATCTGACAATTGCTGTCATCTGTGTGTGTGGTCGCTTCCCAGGTTTGGTAACTGTCGATGCCGTGGCCTCTGGGGATGTGGAGACACTGATGCGCGATCTTGAGGAGCTGGGCATGAAAGACATGGTCAGTTTCGGCCGGTTGGTGTCGGGCCACCTCCCGGTGGCGGCCATCGGTGCCCTCTCCAGCATATCCACACTCAACTTCGTCCGCGCCGCTGCTGCCGAGACGCACAAGGGCGCCGTAACATCGGAGGGCATCAAGTCCCTGGGCGTCGAGGACCTCATTACGGCCGAGCAGAGGAAGAAGCGAGGCGGCCTGACAGGCACTGGCACGACCGTCGGCTTCCTCTCCGACACCTTCAACAATTTCAACACAGATGGGTTCGGGACACCTGCGAGTGACTACACTGAGGATGTGGCCAATGGCGACATGCCAAAGGACATTCTTGTGATTGACGGCGGCACCCCGGGGTCAGACGAGGGCCGCGCCATGATGCAAATACTGTAGGTGTGCAGATGCGCGAACGGCGGGCACAGCATACATCTCTGTGTGGGTGTGGGTGTGTATCTGTATGACATCTACGCAGGTACGACGTGGCCCCTGGCGCGCGCATGGCCTTCCACACAGCCTTCGGAGGGCAGGCACGCTTCGCCCAAGGCATCATCAAGCTGGTGACAGAAGCCGACGCCCGGATCCTGGTGGATGACGTCAGATACTTTGCGGAGCCGATGTTTCAAGACGGTCGGCCAACACCTGCACGTCTGACTTCAGCCATCCATCTTTAAGAAACGTGCCGTACTGGGTATGCAGGCATCATTGCGCAGGCGATCGACAAGGTGCGTGAGATGGGTGTGGCGTACTTTGGTTCTGCCGGCAACTATGGCAGCCGCAGCTACGAGAGCGCGTGGCGCAACTCGACGTACGAAGGCATATTTGGCGGGTGGTTGCACAATTTCGAGCCTGACCCAGACAAGGAGCCCGTCGAGATGCAGCCGATCAACATCACCGTCAACAGCTCATTCGTCGCCGCATTCTCGTGGGACGAGCCATCTTTCTCAGGTCAGTATCCTCTGTGTGCCCAAACAGAGGGAGACCCATTGCCTCTCACGACCTCCATCCCTCCTTGTGTGTACAGTGAGCGGTCCCCCCGGCTCTGCAAGCGACCTGGACATCATGCTGCTCGATTCCAAAGCAAACGTCCTGACGATGGCGGCCAACGACAACATCGGCGCCGATCCGATGGAGCTGATCGAGTTCAAGAACACCGGTGAGTATGATGCCGACGGCGATGGGCGGCCCGACGAGCTCTTCTACATCGCCATCGAGTTCAGGTAGGTAGGTTGGTTGGTTGGTTACGGTAACAGGCCCTGGGAATGCCCCGCCCTCCGAGTCTTTTGCATTCAGAGCTGGCCCGAAGCCGCCGTCGATCGTCAAGTACGTCATGCGTGGCAAGGGTGAGCTGACGGCCTACGACACCAAGAGCGGCACGGGATACGGCCACTCGAATGCCAACGGATGCATCGCCGTGGGGGCGGCCTTCTTCAACAACACGCCCGCCTACGGCACCTACCCGCCCAAGGTCAACAGCTTCTCGTCCAGCTATCCCGTGCCCATTGCATTCGACATCGACGGCAACCGCAAGAAAATGGTCGAGATACGCCGGAAGCCCGACATCATCGCACCTGATGGCGGATCGAATACCTTCTTCGGCAAGGACAAGAACAACAACTCACACCCCAACTTCTTCGGTGGGTCACGGCTGTCGGCAGGCAGGCAGTGTGTGAGTTCCTGTGTGCGTCTGTGGGCCTTCAGGTACCAGTGCCGCCGCCCCTCATGCCGCGGGCATCGGTGCACTGATGCTCCAGATCGACCCCTCGCTGACAGTAGATGAGGTTCGAAGAGCGAAAAGTGAAGACAGACACATGAGCGACTGCCCTCATTCGCTGCAGATTGCTGAGATTCTCACGTCAACAGCGACGGACATGGACGATCCTGATACGGAGGGGTTCGACACGGGTTTTGACTTCAGAACAGGCAGGAATGGATGAACGGCACGCACTCTTCCTGTCGGATCGGTCACAACAAGATGTCCCTCGCTGCCCTTCTCCTTTCTGCGTGTATGGCAGGTTACGGCTTCATCAACGGCGTGGCAGCATTGGAGGAGACCCGCAAAATCAAGAAACTGAAGGACGAGCCGCCAACCGAGCCGCCAGCCGTCGTCGAGGAGGAGCCGCCCACAGAGGCGCCCAGGGAGGAAGGCGACCCACACGACGAGGACAGTAGTGACGGCAAGCAGAGTGACAGAGAGGATGGGAACAGCAGCCACGATAGAGGGAGGAGGGGAAGAGGGAGCCACAGGGGGAAGGGTAACGACGTTGACGACAGCAGTCACGAAAAGCGAGAGAAGACCGGCAAGGGGGACAGGAGGCATCACCGCGCCAAGGGAAAGGGCACTAATCGCAATGATGAGGGCAAGGGTGATGGTAGCCATCCACGCGACGATCACGAGGAGACGGAGGGCTTTCTTCGCGTCGACATTGACGATGACCTCGACATTCTTGTGTCAGAGCAGGCCGATTGGACGGCTACAGAGCAGTGAGGGCGTGCCGCAGGCATTGGGTGAGCGTGTATATGCAATTCATATCGTGTACGTCGGTGGGTGGGTCGGTGGGTGCTTTAGTGCTCGCACAGCATTGTGCAGCGGCATGTGCAGAGTGACAATTATAGGACTAGTGGTGCACGTCGCTTTCATTTGTGTGCCTTTCTCCCTCTGTGTGTGTCCTGTAGTCTGCACCCTCCAGGCCGTATAGACATGGGCACCGTCAGTTTGTTTGGCCGATGACATATTGCTTACAGCAGCAGCAGCAGCAGCAGCATGATGTGTGTGCGTGCTTTCACACAGGTACCTGACTGACTACATGGCTTAATCTAATCTAGTCGCGACGGGTGTACATGCTGACATGTCCACACGCATCTAAAGCAAGCTGTCTCCCTCACAGACTACCAAGCTGTGGTTGGCAGCGACTGACTGACTGACTGGCTGCATCCCTCCTGCATTGCTGCCTGTTGCCTTTGGTGTCGGCGCGTGTCACAAATGAGCGTAGGAACATATGCAGTGGCAACTTTTCCGTCAAGTGTCGTGAGGTTGTGCCACGTGTTGTGCACCATTCGACCATACAGGGACGCGACTCATGTATCATTTGCGTGTTTAAGCCACATGGCTTGAACACCGGCACATCACATACCGTCCGTCACTCTTTGGCGCTGTCCAGCACCCTCTTGGCCGCTGCCAACTCCTGCAACACACGCACCCACATGATATTCATTTCATTCACACCATGCCAACCAAATCGCTCCAGCCAGCCTCTGTCTGTGTGTGTGCGTGTGTGGCTGCCCCGACCCACCCCACCTACCTCTTTGAGTGCTTTCTTGGTGGTGCTCTTGTCGTGCGGTGAGGTCTCGAGTTCCTGCTGCTGCTTCTGGATGGCCTGCCTCTACGAGCATCTCTGCCAGCTCTCGCTCGGTCTTCTTCATCATGTCGTCGTAACACAGGCGGCCCTCACGCGGACGCACATCGATGAACCGACCACTCGGGTCGCGGAAACAACCTGCGTGGTGGCCACACACAACACACCAAACACCACACACCAGACCATACACACCACACCCATTGGCGCCCATGGCGATCCCGTCCTTGTATTTCGCGCTTGGTATTTTTCTCTCTGCCCACGCTTAAGACAACAGGCAGGCTGACTTGTTCCATGCATCTACAAACAAAAAACATCATCTGCTGACCGAAAGTGAGGGGCGGGTCTTTCGGTAAATGCATGTGAGTTATCAGAAGGTGTGACTTTGCAGCTCTTGCTCTTGCTCTCGTTTCTTAGCCTTGACGGCAGCTGCGTGTATACAAGGCGAGAGACACATGTCAGCGTAATCCACGCATCAGCTTGTATGTCTCATTCCTTTTCTCATTCACTCGTCATGTGTGCAACGCACACCTTTCCTTCCCCGCACCGTTTTTTGATGCGTTCTTCGTTCTCATCAAACTCATCGAAAACACCCAGACACACACGCCGCCCTCTGAACTCGTATATACCGTATGTATGCGCTGATTGATGGACCGGATCTGCCATGCATTGAACCGATGTGTGGAGCATCCCATGTGCGATTGATCCAATGATCTCTGACCGTCGAATGGACCCCCACACACATCCAACGCACTTCTTTTTGGCCTTCTTCTTGGTGCGCCCTTTCCCTGCCTTGCTTGTCTCGGCCTGTGATGTCTCCGCCTGCATCGTGCCCTGCGGGTCGAGTGCCTGTCGGATGAAAGACGAGCTCGTCGATCAGCTCGAAGCCGTGGAGATGTTCGACTCTGATCTTGCCGCCGGCGGCCCCTTCGTCTCGTGTGTGTAGCTGTCTGCATACCCGTGGATGAAGCTCACTTCGCAGCCTGTGGCCAGGCCGGCAGACACGAGAACCAAGAGAGGGACAAGAAGGGCCATGATGGGTAGCCGGATGATGGGCCACCGCTGCGAGATGCCCTCACTAACTACCTCACCCAGCTCTCCAGCCATGCGGTGACCGCCACTGGCCCAGCTGATGATGCTGCCTGCGCGTCATGGCGGCGGCGTACGACAGCAGCGGCTAGCAGCGGCAGGAGCGAGTGGCGGCGGCGTACCAGACGCCCACCAAGGGCACCTCCCTGCTGCATGGTGTCCGCCATCCAGAACGGCGACCCACCCGACGGTCCATTCAACCACCGTCCCGTCCCCCAAAACGAGATCGCATTTGGGTTCCACTTGTACTCCCTCCCCTCCGACGAAAAAGCAAGCCCACGATGTGCGCCGTGCTTCGACTCCTTCTCTCCACCTTGCTCTCCACCGTGAGTGGCCCACAAAGGACGATTAGTTGTTGACTGATTGACTATTGCTGAATGAATGAATGGGTTTGTGTACTACTGATGGTTCTATCCCGGCACTGTGCGGGGTACACTGTGCAGCTCCTCCTGGTTTCTTCCACGGGAAGTTCAACGACCGAGGACCCCTCGGAACCCCCCACGAGTACGACCGAGGAGGCCCCGAGTAGCTCAATATCACCGTCTACAGAAGGTCCGCTGCCAAGTACCCCACCGCCGATTCCCATCGGACCCCTGAGGCTGCATTCTCATAACGACTTCATCGACCCTGACAAAGCACACGGTGGGCGAACAGGGGTACAGGCAGACATTAGTGCGGTGTGGGGAACTGTTTACTGTATTCAGTGTCGGCGTCGGCAATCGAAGTGACAGACCTGAGACTCTGCCTGAACAAAGAATGCGACGGACAGTTGCCGCGTGGTGCCCAACCATGGAAGGCAGAATATAGAGACCCTGCAGCGGCTCCATCTGGCAGCCCGGTGCCGATTCCCGGGCTGGGTTCCGCCAGGACGCTGGAGTTGGATGACAGACTGATGGTCAGCACACGATCGTGCATTCGAAAAATTTGCATGTTGGATGCATGCGCCCTGTGTGCAGGCGAGCCAGAAAACAGCCGACATGACTCTGGTGTGCAACAAAAACGCGATTGAAGAAACGAAGCCGCAAGAGTATGCCAATGATGACACGACAAAGACAGACGTGTTTTGAGTTTTATACGCCTGTTCAGGCTCTATTTCAACTTTCGTGCGTTCGTGGAGGGTATCGGACCTGTGGTAGACAGGCAAAGGTGCGAAGTCGAGACTGAATGCATTGGTCAGCGGATTGATAGAGTGGAGGATCAATAAGAGCGGAAAACAACAAGAGAGGAACACAATAAGAGAGTTCAAATTTGTCTGTTCGTATCTATGGCGGACTGTAGGAACGTACAAAGATCCCCCAGAAGAGGTGCCGGAGGAAGAGGAGCCAGTAGAGGTTCCAGCCCTCCCACTGAAGTGCCGTTCTCGTGACCGGCTCAAGTACACTAACCATCATGGAGCGCTGACCTACAAGAATGAGACCTTCGTCGTACTGGAGGACTTCTTCCAGCAGGGCAAGGGAAAGATCGATCTGGCGAACATCACTATCGAGGTCGTGAGAATCATAAATGTGGGGGAATATTCAAGCTTTATCGTCAATGACACGTCTTCCTTCGTGAGTGTTGCTGACAATACATACAGCTACATACTGCTGGGCATTTGTACACGGCAGGAAACTGATGGCACAATCACAATAGGCGTGAGGTTTCCAGTGGGGGATGAGTGCCCTACTGAACCTGTCAATCACACGTAAGTTACATGCGGTCAATCACACGTAAGTTACATGCGATGAATCCCAAACCTGGCTATTCATTGTGTCGTGACTGTCAGCGTACAGTTTGACTTCGAGACGTTTGTCGAGGGGTTGGGCAAGATGGAGGGGCAACGGAAGTGCAAAATCGAGCTAGAGTGTTCGCCGGGTAAGTATGGTGGAGAATAGCGACAAAGAGCAAGGATGCAAAGAACAAATCAGGATGCCTATGGCGACACCACTCTGAATGCATATGTAGTTCCGTGTGTCTGTGTCCATTGTTGAGACCCACTTGGCATCCAGTGTCCAAACATCTCCCTGGATGCCTACTCGGGAGCCGAATGGGGGTCTTCCACGACAGTACACGCTCGCGACATCATCACAAAGTATTACCCGAGTGAGTTTACCATCGCTAACGGCTCTCGGTGGGAGCCCCCGGAGCTATGGGGTCGCAAGTTCTCAATCGACAAATCCAAATTGGTCGATATTGCAAACACTCGACTGACTTACTTGGTCGCATGCTTCCTAATTGTGTGCTGCACAGGAGAGCGAACAGGCCCTGGATGCGTCTCTAGTATGTGAAATGGGAGTAAGCGGACCAGACAGTGGCAGGTGAGCTGAAAGCACAAACGACTGCCTGTCTAGTTTTGTCTGTCCTGTACGTAACTACATCCACATCATATCAGCCTCAAGTTCAAAATGGTGGTGGACGTGGAAGGCCTAGGTGAAGTGGAGGCTGAACACAATGACTGTGAAATCGAGACAAACTGCACCAGCGGGCTACTGGTGATACTAAAGGGAAATATGAACCTTCACCCGAGCATCGAATGGCATGTTGTTCCGTGCAGGGGCTTGAGTGTCCGAGTATGCAAGTACATGCGTATACAGGTCACACGCCGTCCTGGTATCCGTCATTCTATAGCGCTGTCGATCCTCCTCCTCCTGGCCTGTATGTCCGCCAAATTATCATGGAGGATGTAAGTTAGATGTTACGAGTACATGGATACCTTCGTCTACCAATGCGGAGCCATGCGTTCTTTCAGGATGACGAGCTGCTCAAAACAAAGGCAGCAATCGACACGCTGAACATCGATAGTGAAATGGAGATTGACCAGATTGGAAAGTCGGTGCAGCTGCTGCGAGTGTCTTGTTACTGTGATACAACGGGGTCTGTTTAACTGTCCAGGTATATTCTCAAGCTGCTCGACAGCAGTTGGACGGAGCTGGAGACTGAAGGCGCTAAGAACAGATTCAACAGAAAGAACATAACGTTCTTCGCCCCAACGAACCGCGGTACGAAGGCCTGTGTACGTCTTTTACTTCTCTCCCGAATTTCTTTTTCAGCGTGGGAGGACTTAGGCAATGGCACCTATGAGCGAATGCTCGAAAACGCGACCAATATTACCATGACAAAGAAAAACGAAAATACTACTAACACGACCCCACTGAACCCCTTCATCCCGATCTTCCTTGCTCACATTGTTGTGAGTGAGCCGGTGAATGACACTGAGCCAGGGGATAACACGGACCTTGGGGATGACACGCCGAGCCCAAGCCCAAGCCCAAGCCCGAATCCGAGCTCGAATCCGAGCTCGAATCCGAGCACGCAGGGCCCGCCAGGAACCCGCCGGCTGTCACCATACGAAACGCTGATGCTCATTAGCGCGAGAGAGGCTCGTCGGCTGTCAGGATATGACGCACACGACTTTGGCAACATCACTGAGGCCGCCGACGACGACGACAATTGCCTGACAGGCCACACACTCTTGAACCTCATTGGCGACCCACTCAACAACACAATATACACAAAGGTGTGTGCGGGGATAAGAACCACCGCTACGCCCACCGGCAACGAGACGGAGACGAACAACATGACCTACGTTGAGGTATGGCACAGAGACAGACTGGCGGCATTTTCACGTAATCAGGCTTGTATATGTGTGTGTCCGCATGAACAAGGTCAAATACAACGAGAAAAAAAAAGGAGCGGAAGGAGAGGCACCCGAGGTCAAGTACACGGATTTCGACTTGGGCCAAGCGGTCATCACGAAGGTATCAGCCAACACAGGACACGATGATACATACACACGTGCATGAGCGCGAGCATGCACATGTGACACATGAATGTATGCAGCACGATCTGTGTGCCGATGCTCTTCTGAGTGTTTGTGAAAACGGCCATCTGCTTCTGGTGGATCGCGTGTGGGTGCCGCCTCTTGACGAACTCGAGGAATACAGAGCGGTACGCACATACATGAGCACGTGTTGACAATACACCGGCACACACGTGGATTTTTGACACGTGGTACAGCTCATGCCAGGATGGCAGGACGAGACGACGGAGTCTGCAGCGATGAGCAAAGGGAACAGCCCTTTCATCCTTACACTCATCACCGCACTGGGAGCGGCAGCATACGTAGTTTCGTAAAGATGTCTGTGCACCCGTGAGCGTGTTCATCGCAGCAGCAAATGCACATTCATCGCGGCAGAATAGATTACTGTACATTCGTCCGTGTCAGATTAGCTTCGCCTGGGTGGATTTGCGGGGACGTAAGTCTGATTTGGCCGTTAGTCTTTGGTTTTTATAGCGTGCCTGCTTTAGTTCCTGTCTGAGGCCTGGGGAAGCCCGTAGTGAAATATCGCACAAGACCGAAAAAAATGAAGCACAGTCTTCAAAGGAACATCTGACAAGATCAGCTCACTTCTCTCAATTCGTTCATTCCCACGTTCATTCCCTTGCTCCGCGATGATACAAACGCTCTCTGCTCTCTGCTACTGCACACGGGGGCGTTTGGAGCCGGAAGCCCCCCGCTTTCTTGCCCGTAGAGCACGAGGCACCCAAAATGAAGAAATTCATTGATTTGGTCGATGTCCGTGCCTGCCCTGTCTGCCTGTCTGCCTGCCTGTTGTGTCCGATGACTGAGTGGTTGGATCGATATACCTGCCTGTCTGCGTTATGTGTCTCACGTATGTATGTCGTATGTCTACCGGCACTGTCGTCTGGGTGTATGTATGCATGTCTCTATGTGTTGTGTGCAATCTTATGTCTGTCTTCTATGTGCGTGCGTGTGTGTGTGTAAGTGTGAAGGCAAATGAACTGTGTGGACAATACAAACGAGTGCTATCCAGTTCGATGTGTGAAGGAAGCTGTGATTCACATTGTGTGTTCAAAGATATGCAGTCGTTCTCACACAGGCGTCTGCACATAAGTGTTTCCATACATCGACCGATTCGATACATGCGCGCGCAAACACACATATACCATGGACAGAAGAAAGGCAAGACAAAGACTCCATTTTGGCACTGTGTCAGCGTAAAATGGACGATACACTCTGTGTCAGCGTTCCCTACCCACACAAGTAAACATCCCGACGCGGACTCTGTCCATATGCATGGACAGTGTGGACCAGTGTGGAGGAAGAAAGAATCGGACCTTCGATATCGTATGGGTATTGGGGTGCTTCCCTTGTACATGCTGACGCTACGCTGCGAGCACAAAATACACAGACGGCATTTGTCCGATTTGAAGCCGAACAACAAAGCAAATCATGTCTGTTTATTGGCTCAAAAGCTGAGTAGAAACAAGTGGTAGCATATCCTTGTTCAAGTAATAACTGACTTTTACTTGAACAAGGACTAGTCATGTATGGCCAATCAAGGATATGTTCATGACCGAACACACACCACCTATATTTCCCGACTCACTTAGTTTATCCACAACATACGACATCACAGACTTGCAACATACGACATCACAGACTTAAGAGCATTCAACAAACACCAGATGATCACATTCACCCGATGGGATGCGCCCCTTCGACATCTTTACGCCTGATGAGCTTCGCCTTCGTCTGCTTGCTGCTCGTGTCCTTTGTCGAATCCTGTCTCTCCGAGCTCACCTACCGGCAGCTTCTGCTCCTGCATGGACTCGTCGACGGCTGCGTAGGACGGCATCTCACGTTCTCCCTGTTCTTCCCCAGCTGCTTGCTCTTTCTGTTGCTGCTCTGGTAGCTCTTCGCTCACTCCAGCCTCCTCTTTGTGTGCGACAGGGACTTCACCAGGCAACACGGCTGCAAACTCTTGTTCGGCGTCGCGCTCGACAGCAGGCACCATTTCCTTCCCCATGACTTCTTTATGTTCCCCTGCCTTCTCGGCCGTCACAATTGTCGTCAGCGCTTCCTGTCCTTCGTTCTCCTCAACGATGTCCTGGTTCTTCATCTTCTTCCATGGCGATTTCCTCATCATGACGTATGCCAAGGCGCCCACAGCGGCTACGAAGAGGAGGCATAAGATGATAATGAAGACGCCGCCAAGACCTTCCCTGTCCAGACACTCATCGGTGAAGTCAAAGACACTACAAGAGGACTCGGCGCCTACAAAGAGAGAGACACGACAAGAAGATGAGTATGTCATTGAAGGCGCACAGCCAATTTATGTTATCACCAGTCATCTTGTCGGTTTCCTTATACATGACGAAATATTCCTCACGCATGTCATCAGGGACAAGGTTATGTATGATCACCGAGCGGTCTTGGTCCATGTTGATGACGACACTTCCCTCCGACACGTGAGACATGAGCTCTGCCATGCTGGTAATATGTGAGAACTCAGTCATGTCTAGCATGTCATGACCGTCATCGAGTGTGTCAAATAGAGGGATGAGCACTTCTCCCGCCTTGTTGGAAATCACACTGGAAGAGAAAGTGTATGCACAGAGGTGTCTCGTACGCAGCCTTCCAATATGCTTCTTACAAAGTGTCGGCTCCTTGCATTCCTAGCAGATCTGAACACAAACGTTGGCGGATAAATACGTGGGCGTCCGGAAACGGTTGCTTACCATCGTTTCCGCCACCGCTGATGAGGACGTCATTTCCCTCTCAACCTGTCAGCTTGTTATCTTTCGCGTTGCCCCTGATGACATCGTTATGGCTGGTGCCCTCAACATCAGTGATCGGGCTGTCTTCTGCCAAGGTGATACGCTTGGGATAGTCGGCTGCAATGCAAGACACCTTCGTGGCGGATGGCATGTGACATACAGTTGTCGGATCCTCCTGGTCGTCCGTGTTGGCTCTGTCGATTGTGATGTGCCCGTCGGCCAGTGAATCAGAAAGGTCGTTTTCCTTGGTAGGTGTCTCAGTAGGGACTTCAGTGGTGGTAGCAGGGGCTTCACTTGGGAGATCGACAGTAATCGCAGGAGGCCTGCTTCCCTGCCATGGCGGAGATGTGATATACTCTTCGTCTCCTGGCTCTACGACGAGCAGATCGATGACGCCATCCAGCTCCTCAGTGGCTTGGCGCCTGTAGGCGATTGTGGAGGCCGTGTCCGCCACTATGGCGTGTGCTTCGACAGGATCGTTCTTTTCGCTCTCGTAGTCGGCGATCTTATCAAGCAGATTGTACCGCAGGACAAGCAGCTGGAAGATAATACGAGGTACCGACGTAAAGTGCGAAGGAATACGAAGCTCAAAAATCCAAATCTCAATCCTTACTTACCTGGTCCATCTGCATGGTATGCAACACTCGGTTTGCCTGGATTTCCTCGGTGGGAGGCATGGCGAGGCCAGCCGCTCCGACGCCAAGGGAGACATCTCCATTCGTATAGCTGTTGTTCGACGAGAAGGGAACCACTTTTTCCAACAAGTAATCGCTTCCCAGAGCCACATGATATACAGTCAAGCTGCAACTTGTGAGGTTGAGCTCCTCCCGGACCATGTAGCGAAGGAAATTCGTCCGCAGCCACGGATTCCTTTCAAGGAAGCCCACAATTGTCGACTTCTCCGAGATGTCGCTGGCATCATCCTTCAGCTCTTCATAGAATAGAGGCAGAAGCAGATCACCGCTGATGAGGTTATGCTGGGCAATAGCGATCTCAGAAAGAAGAAGGGCATTTTCGAGACGAAGGAGGGATTTGGGTTCCTCCTCCATTCTCTCAAGCTCCTCTTCTGGGCGCACCGAGTCGCCAAACTGGACGTTGATGACTTGGGTAAGCTTGGGGAGAGGACTCAAGAGCTCCAGCACTAGCTTGGCGGATACAAGCACGTCCAGCCTCTGATCGAATGATGCGGTGACATAGCACGATTTCTCACACCAGTGCGGCCCCAACTGGAGGTTGCTGGGGTCGTCCTGAAGCTTGGCGTCGAGCGCATCAAAGGTGTGCTCAGGAAGGGCCAGGGACTTCCATTCGGCTTTATCTGGCACATTCGCTTTGAGCCAGTCTAGAAGCTCATTGTAGCGATCCTGCCAGAATGAGTCGAGTGTTGTGTCCTCTGCAAAAATGCCCACGCGAGCACATCATGAAATATGCTTATGCACACTCTCTCTTCTGAGCGACCAGTTCCGAAGTGTGTCCAAGAATTCCCGATTTCTCCCGAGAGCCCGAGAAAGGAGGTCAATCCTGTGATACACACACACATACGCACATTGACCACCTGTGTATGATGTAAGATCTATTACACGTGTCTTGTCGCATCCTCACACGTGCATAGCATTTGTCGTAGCTCACTTTCTCTCTCTATGTTGGCGCAGCATAGCACATCATGTGCATCCGATACATGAATGATTGTCATTTGTGTGAACGCACGTCCCTGTCTCTCTCTCTCTCTGTGTGTGTGTGTGTGTGTGTGTGTGTTACGTTGACGAAGTATACGAGGTCTGCATAATTTGTGAAGTATCCATCGTGCAAGGCCTCCTCCTTCAGCAGGGCGACCTCCAGATTGCGACAGTGACCGATCTCATCAAATCTTAGCTCCTTCACGACTGCCGCCACCTGCCAAAGCTTGATGTCAAGGTCGTCGAAGCGCTCGATCACCTCAAGGTGTTTTTCGTTGAGGTCCTTCGCCAAATTCATTGTGGTTTGGTATCTGTATCGACAAAAGGATTGACGATTAAAGGAGAGGATTTCTTTAATGCTCGTGCATACAGTGTTTCTTGGTTTGTCATCAGTTGCTTCTGCCCCTCCATGAGCTTTGAGACGCCCTCGACAATGAGCTCTTTGATTTCCTGCTGGCCCTCCATTGTTGCATCCAAAATGATCTTCTGTCCTTCCCGAATTTGCTGGAGTGCCTGCATGACTTGGTGGTGTCTCAAAGCAGCTGCACTAGGGCCTCTCTTCTTCTTCTTTATGCCAAAAATTGACCCGATAGCAGAGAAGCCGAGCTGTATCATCCCCACTACATTAGATGGAAGAAAGGCCATCGCAGCTTGCCTGATGACGCGACACGCAAAATCCCGCATCAGCAATTGAACAGGCTGACGTTGAAGCGTCTCTCACGTTGCAAAAGAGGAGACTTTGCTCACATCATCCAGCAATCCAGAGTCCACACCTAGGCTCGAAGCGATGTTTATTGCAAGGTCAACTCCTGAAAAAAGGAAAGCCTTCTTGCGCTTCCTCTCAGCTTACCCTTCGACGCTGTACCTTTCGAAAAATCGTGAACATCATCTCGCCACGATTGCTGTCCTTCAATGAGCATGATCCTCTTGTCATCCTTGATTGCCTCCAGCTGCTGTACTGGCGTGAGCTGTCCGTTGAATGCACCATGCAGGAAACCAACGAGGCCGTCATCCAGGGCAGACAGGCCAGCGAGCTCCTGAAAGCTCCCTAGAAGGGTGTCTTGATCGTTCAGGAGCTCTCTCAGTCCACTTTGGAACTCTCGTACCATCATGAGGTCCTGCTGCACTCCTAGCTTCAAGATGACGTCCTGACGGTAAAAGCAGCAAGAAAAAAAGATTGATGCACAGAAGGCTCCCCCATGGTGCTTACATTGATCTCAGTATCGGCATACTCAACCAGCTTAGCTTTGACGTGATTCAAGATGCCTTCTGCATCCGTCAATCCGTCCTGGAAGGTATTAGCAATCTCCTGAAGTCCATTTAATAGCTTCTGAGCCATTTTCCCTTGATAGAGCTGGTTCTCGATCACGTCGCCCAGGTCTTTGTGGAGACCTTCGAAATTGACTAATATCTCTTTTGCCTTTTGCAAGGTTGGATTGTTGAGCGAGTCCGTCATCTTTTCTGCGTCGTCGAAGAATTTGTCCAGTGATTGCCATTTCAGCAGTTCGGTGGCTGCATCGAAGGGCTTCTTCAAGTCGTTCATGACGCTTGCGAATTGTTTCTCGACATACTCCCCTTGGCGAGACACAAAGAGAAAAGGAGAAAAAATTCATGTCTATTGCAATATGCCGCGCATACACGTGTGCGCGTGGGATGAATGTGTGGATTCGATTAATACCTGCCACGACATTGAATATTTTCTTATTGCGGCCAAACCAATCAAGGGCGTCATCCAACATGACCAGCCTTCGGCCTGCATAAATGTCGACGAGAACCATACTAGGTTATGTACAGCAGCAGTCTACCTGCTGGAGCCTTAGCTCTTGGAACCAGAGTATTCAGAAGGCCAGCTTCTAGCTCCTTCAGAAACGTGTCTTTCGCCTTCCCCGCGCTATACAGTTTCCAAATACGAGCGTCCTCCAAATTTCGACCATACAGGAACATTTCGACCGTCGCAGAGTCCACAGAACCCCCAAAGGCAGGCTCGTCGGACCTTGTCACAGGAGTCGGTTCATTTTCAGACAATAGTTTTCAGATGCGTTCTACGGGGCTTGCGTACCTGACCATGAGGCGTGCGTCCAGAGGGATCCCACTGCCTTCTGTTCCTTCAATTCCCCACGTCGCCACAGCAGCGAGGAAAAACCACAGAGGTGGTTTTCCTCTCGTGTATTTCCTCTTTCCACTCGACATAATTACCTGCAGACAAGTCGAATGAAAAGAATGTCGTAGGTAAAGCCATTTTTGCCTATGATACCTGAGCCCACTCGCCAGCAAGCTTGTCGCGCCAGGCAGCACTTGGGGGCTGCCTGGCGCGACAAGCTACAGGCCACATTTCTCGTCCCCCGCCCGCATGCGGCACGTCGTGGCCATCCAATACACACGGTTGCAAGCCGGTTCCCCGACGCACTTCAGGTAGGAGAGAAACTCATCTCAATGATCTCGGGCCTTTGCCAGATTATCCACTGCTTTCAGAGCGAAAATGAAGATGATAGTGCTTCTCGTGGTGCTTGCCGCTTGGAGCCCTTTCCCGATTGCCGCGGAGATACTCACGTTATGCCTTCTACAAGTTGTGCAGCTTAAGCGGTGCGGACAAAACTATGATTGTGTATCGTTGGATACCTGGGAGGGACGCATCGGCGGGTCCATGCCCAGCGGGTCAAAAGCCCAGGCGGAAGCGGCGTGGGGGGATAGGTGGCACGTAGCAACCCCACGTGAAGGCTATCCGGTGAAGGCTATCGAGCTGACAGCAGGAGATCAATCCTCGTGTCCATCTTGGACAGAAGGCTGGCAATACATCCATCATGGAGCCATGTTTCTGCACTTCTCGACCATCCAAACAAATCCCAACTCCGACATCGGAGTGGCACAACTGGAAGGGCGAGTCGTACAACTGGAAGGTGGCGTGATTGAGGCCGTCAACAACATGACTGCCAGTCTGTCCGACAGCGACAAGATCGGCCAGCTGCAGTCGGAGCTGGATGCCAAATACCAGGCCAAGATTGGCGCCTTGGAGCAGAAGGTGGAGCAGCTGGAAGAAATGCTGCTCAATCTCATTCGACCGCCTGCCTGAGCCACAGAGGTGTTTGTTTGGGTTTTGCTCTCGACTTTTCATCCTGAGACATCAGTCAGAATGCCTGTGGAAAAGATGTATCGACTCCAGTGCATTGATGTAGTGCTACGTGTTGACCTGCCATCGGTCCCTTTCAACAACGAGAGGGCAACAAATGCAGGACACAATTCATTCATGCCCCCACTTATTTTCATCAGATATGTCATGGCTGTTTGTTTAGTCCACAGGGTTTGAAGTCCGTAGCGTTGGCGGAGGGATTCCCCTAGATCGCCGAGCAGGCTCCTGAGGAGTTGCGCAAGGACACTCTGCGGTCGCTGGAGCCCGACCAGGTGTGATGGAAATGTTGGTGGATACATCGTGTGAAAGGGTCTATGTGTGGTCTATGTGTGTCGTTTGGGCAAGAGGGCTCACGCAATGGCGCCAAGCTCGGCCGGTTTGTCGACGACTGTGAGGGCCGGGGGTGTCAGAGTCTCACTTCCCAGCAGTTCCGTGCATAAGTGCGTCACTTTTTCATCAGCTGAGGCGGCCCACATGCATGTCAGCCAGGCCAAGCCCATGGGTGTGTGGCGAGATAACCGACACTACTGACAGTGAAGCATTTCTATACACTTTTTCCCATTGTGATGTTTTTGTCATCTTAAGCGTCTCACATCCATTACTCACACACATGCACCTGGTCCATCCATCGTCAAATGATCGACAGAGAAAGGAAGTCCATCCCACGAAAGTCGCAGAGGCTCATTTGGAAAGTCAAACCACTCGTCACGCCACTCTGTCAGGGGAAATGCATCGACATGCGGTTCGCCCACGTAATGCTGCCCTGGCTCATGCCAGTGTGCCGCGAGTGTATGCCCATTTGCAGCGTTTGCAAACACACAGAACAGGCCTCTCTCGTACGCGTACGCCATGAGCCAAGGAGTCCACATTGTCGTATTGGCTTTCTTCAAGACTTGATACTGCAGGAAATACTGTGTGGAGACGATGTGCGGCAGCAAAGGAAGATACCTGGTCCGCTGCACGGACCTATACCATCGAACGAACTTCAGCCACACGCCCCTTTTGGGGCTGAAACCGATGGAGCCAAAAAAAGGATAGAGGAACAAGGAGGGCTTCTCTTGCTGATCAGCATCTCTTTTTCGTCTCTGATCGGCCTTGAGGGAAGGAAACAGACATTACTGTGTGATTTGCCTGTGAGAGATGTGCTTCGTTTCTGATTGGTACCAGTATATGCGCGCGTTGCAGAGTGAATCCGCCGATGTCCTCCCTCCGCTCATACGCTGTGTGGGCCTTTCGGAGCCATTTAAAAAAGAAAGGAGACACTTCGATGTCGTCCTCCAGGATAAGAAGGATAGTGCCATCTTCTTGCTGCAGTCTGTCTTCAGGGATCGCTTGGATCCACTGCTCCGCCAGTCCATAGTGTCTGTCCCTCACCCGCACTGTCAGGGAGCCGTGAGGCCAGGGATAGGTCTTGGCTGCCTCGAGCGTCTCGCTGTGGACGAGTCCGTCACGATTCAAGTCAACCGAGATGAGCAGATCCACGCGCTGACCGAAATAGTGTGACATAGAGAGGGATTGTAGCAGCCGAACGAGGGAATGGGGGCGGTTGTACGCCAGCACCGAAATAAGCAGGTTTCTGTCCGGAATGACATCACTCGATTGCTGGATCGGAGAGTTGTTCCTCGACTGGTTGTCACACTTAACAGACACAGCTAATCGCACGAGGCGCAAAACATGAGAGGCACTAAAGATTCCTTCCCCTCTGACTTACTTTCTTCCCTATATCTCCTTCGTTCTCTGTCTTCCTTGGCGAGCGACTGTGATGCCACGAGGTCGAGAAGTTCCAAGAGCCGCCAACGCTTGCTGAAGAGCTGACTGACCCTTAGATACCTCCACAGTGCGTCGACGTGGGCGACGGCTCCTTGCCTTGTTAACAACTGATGCAAGTCAACCAGCGGGCTCTCGAAGGCAGAAATGAACAGCCAGAATGTCCAGGCGGCCATAAAACCCAAAGGACACGAGTATATATCACCTGAAGGATGACACAAATACGTCGCCTGTGTGTCTTTGTTTGTCGTGTTCCTCACCCAGCCCAGCACGCCCCGAGGAGAAATCGTAAGATATCTGCACAGCCATAATGACCAAATGGCCGTGATTTGCAACTGCCCTTGCAACTCCATCACGTCGGGCCATTTCGATGAGCGAGTCTAAACCCTCGCGGAACACATCGAACGGATACGACCAGCTCCCAGCAGACTCGCATGGCGCCTCGGCAACATGGCCCAATACATGAGGGCGCAGCTCAGCCAACATGCTGTATTCAATTATCAAAAAAGAGCATGCGTATTCTTCCACACAATTCATACGTGTCCATATATTCATCGTACGTGAATATTGGGAAGTCCGCCGTGAGGAGATCCCGAAGAGGCAAGTGCGCCTTGATGAGCTCTATCGCCTCCACTGCCAGCAGCATTTCATCCCTCTGTGGCGTCATGAAAGTGGTGGCAGCCAGAAGATGTGTAAGAAACGCCGCAACGGAACTCACATTCAGAGGGCCAACTTTGCCACGGGCGGCCGCCGCGAGCCATTCAATTGCCTCTCGTTGGCCAGTTTCTGTCATCTGCATTGCCGATGCAAACACTGCCGGGTCGAGGGAGCTGTTGGAAACACTCGCAGCATGGAAGGGCGGGAAGAGATCAGTCAAAGTATCACCGCAGTCCATTGCTGACCAGCAGCCACCGGGAGCTGCCAGCATCAAGCAGGAAAGAAGGGAAACACGCATCGGCAGAGTTTTGAAGCATCTTGAAGTTCAACGGACGCCCTAACCCACATCAGATCTTGCGCACACATCCATACACCATGAGACCATTGCCTGCCGTCGCGCTGTGAGTCAATGTATTTCCACCCATGCATCAGCCACAACACATGAATAAAATCATGCACGCACATACATCCATCCAGACCGGCAGACAGGGCCGACAACATCATGACATCTCTCCGTTCATCCATAGACACGACAGATACACACAAACGTAGACGCGCAGGCAGGCAGCAGGCACCAGACACATTTACAGACCCGGTGCGTCTCGCTCCCCACTCTCGCTCTTTTTTTTTTTCCTCAAGTGACTGATGAATGCTTTCTACACACAAGTAATTGCACAGTCCGATCACCACAGTTCAGTACCTCCATGCACCCGCCTCATCATTAGTACACCTGTCGAAAACCGCAGCCAAGTGCGTCAAAGTCGACGCCAACCGCCTGCAGCACGCTGCGGGCCTTGCTCACGGTCGCAGGCACACCGTCCCGCCCCTCCTGCCCCTCTACACGCCCCTCGTTGGTGAAGAGCCGCACGAGGCACCCCGTGCGCGGCGAGAAAACGTGAACATCCACATAGGCCAGGAAGCCGTCGTTCCACCGGTCACCCGACACCACGATGAACCGATGCTGCCCGAAACCATCGGCAGCCACGGAGGCTGTGAACGCGTTACCGCCATCAATTCGGTGCCCGACCGCACAGTGTCCTTGAATAGAGGCTGCGAGCAAACGACGGACAGAGCCGTAGCGGCTGTCGCTCCGCATGATGGTTGCTGAAGCCACCATTGGAGCCATCCCCTGCTCGAGGATGCGCTCGATGACGTAGCCGGAGAAGGATGGGAAGAGGTCGTCGTCTCGTCGTATAACCGGGTCACTCTCGTCATAGGTGAGCCTGTACAGGTGGCGTCCCGGCAAATCTGAACGCATCACAGTGCGGAAGCGGTGCTCGCCGTTGCCGATCCTGTACCACTCGCCCAGACCCTCCTCCCTTATTAGAGCCATGCTTCCGTCGCCCTGGCCGATCCGGCTGCCAAACGACGCGTACTGCGCGATGGCCGGCGGCATTTCATGATAGTCTGTTCTGGAGGGGAAGTTAGATTGCATCGCCGCGGGGTCGAGAGTGATGGGGAGGCGAGCTACGAGGCCGCTGGACTTTGCCAAATAGATGCTGGTCTTCCACTTCCGCCACTGCCCACGATGCTCCATCAGATAAGTTGCTCTTGCTACGTAGTCGAACAGCCACATCCCGCCAGGCATAGCAGACTCATGCTGCTCGACGTCGATCAGGCCAGAGATGTCCTCTGCCACCAGCAGGCCATTCAAGCGGTCCAATAGCGCCGTGAGGCTGATAATTGTTGCTCCTTCTGTCTTGTTTGTCGCCCTCAAAGCCAGAACACTCTTGAGGTCGCAGTATTCGATGGCGATTCGGCGGTAGAGTCGTGCGTCTAAGGGGTGGAAGGTCGATGGGCGGACTGGCGGGCGGTCGATGGGGAGCGGCTTGGAATAGTTGATCGATGCCGGCTGCCATGGCGGACCTGCCTTGCCTGTGGATGAAGAACAGCTGCCCATTTTCACTCGCTGCTGCACGACACATCATACCACACAGATTTCACCACCGTATTGCCACACCATACGCATCTGTCTGTGCACCTCGTTGTGAGAAGCTTCCGGAAGTCCTTGGCGAACTGAAGACGGTCGGTCACAATGCACCTGCTTCAACTTGGCCTCGACCCTTCACCTCCGCGGAAGCAACTCTCTTGGGGAAGAGATTGAGAGCGGTTTCACGGTTGTTTGTGCGAGCTACAATTTGGCGAGCTCCGGAAAGAGGGGGAGAAGGAGAGGTTGAAAGGCCGTGAATGGACGGGGCATGTACTTGCAGAAGGTGTGCAGCCTTAGATCTGTCCATCGGCTTGATCTGGTTGCTGCACTGCTGAGAAGAGTCAGTCAAGTCCGCTGAGCTTCCATTACCCGCTGATTGGTCTATCTTATCAGCTGTCGTCAATTGAGGATGGCGGCTTTCTCATCGGTTTGGGGAAGTTTGGCCGACGATATCATCAAGGAGACCGACGTAGCGTACGAGGAGGAGCTGACGCGCAACCCGTATTCGGTCAAGGTGTGGTGGGCGTACCTCAACTCCAAGACACGCGCACCCCCAAAGCTGCGCAACTTCTACTATGAGCGGGCCTTGCAGTCGCTCCCTGGCTCATACAAGCTGTGGAGGGTCTATCTGGGCGAGCGCATGGAGCAGGTCAAGGCCAACTGCATCACCGACCCGGGGTACGAACGCGTCAACGTGTGCTTCGAGAGGGCCCTGGTCTTCCTCAACAAGATGCCCAAGATCTGGATCGAGTACACCGACTTCCTCCGCAAACAGAAACTCGTCACGCGCACGAGGCGCACTTACGACCGAGCACTCAGGGCACTCCCAATCACACAGGTACGAGAAAGAGAGAGAGAGGGAGAGGGAGGGAGGGAGGGAGGGAGGGAGGGAGAGAGGGCGTATGAGTGGATTGACTCATGTCTGCACGTGTGGGTGTCTGCGTGATCTGTTTGTTGACGTGTGCAGCATGACCGGATCTGGGAGCGGTACATCGACTTCATCAAGGACGTGGGCGTGATAGAGTCGGCCGTGTGTGTGTTCCGCCGTTACCTGATGCTGGAGCCCGACCACATTGAGACCTACATCGCCTACCTCATATCGGTCGGCCACTTTGACGAGGCCGCACGGCTGCTCGCCAAGGTCGTCAACGACGAGGGCTTCACGTCGATGGAGGGCAAAACCAACCACCAGCTCTGGTGCGCACACGAATGCGGTCACATACTGCAGTTACATTCATTGGTGTGTTGTGTTGTGGGTGTGTAGGATGGACCTGTGTGACTTGATAACCAAGCACCCGAAGGAGATCAAATCGCTGGCAATAGAACCCGTCATTCGCAGCGGACTCAAGCGATTCACTGACGAGGTCACCACAAGAGACACACAACCAGACTTGTCATTTCTACAACATTGCGTTGTGTTGTGTTGTGTGCAGGTTGGCCGGTTGTGGTGCTCGCTGGCCGACCATTTCATCCGTCTGGGTCACCTCGAGAAGGCCCGGGACGTCTACGAGGTTCGTGCGTGTCATGTCAGATGAGTACACATACACCATGTTGTCTGTGTATGTGCTCGACTCATGTACGGATGTATTCTGGTGCGTTCGTTCAGGAGGCCTTGTGTGAGGTGACGACAATGCATGACTTCGCCTTGGTGTTTGACGCCTACACCAACTTTGAGGAGGCCCTCATCACTAACAAAGTCGACAGTGACCCACAAGACAGTGAACAGCAGGACGGGTAAGTGAAAACCCAACACCCAACACCCCCCACTCGAAGTTTCCATCGATGGGTCTGTCTACATGCGTGTTGTGTTGTGTGTCCTCCTGTGTGTCCCTCTGTGTGTGAGCAGGGGTGCGGGGGAAGAGGTCGACTTTCTCATGGCGCGCCTCGACCATCTCCTGGCCAAGTGAGCCGAAGAAACAGCCGCCCACAATACACAAGTCACATACATACATGAGCACGCAAACTCATCTGGTGTTTGTTCATGCAGGCGTCCCGAGTTGGTGTCATCGGTCAAGCTGCGCCAGAACCCCCACAGTGTGCACGAGTGGCTCAATCGCGTCAAAATCTACCACGAAGAGCCGGAGCGCGTACACAAACCACACACAACAATATACACACATATGCCACCGCTCGAATAGACAAAGAAATGCCTTCTCCCTCCCTGTGTATGTCTGTCTCTCTGTCTGTCTGTGTACGTGTATGTGTGCAGGTGATCCGCGCGTTCACTGAGGCCGTCATGACGATCGACCCACAGCGGGCCGTGGGCAAGCTGCACCTCCTGTGGATTCGCTTCGCCGGCTACTACGAGACGCACGATGACCTCGACAACGCTCGTGTGATCTTGGAGAAGGCCACGCACGTCAACTTCAGGGGGGTCGACGACCTGGCCACCATCTGGTGCCACTGGGCTGAGATGGAAATCAAGCACAAACACTTCGACAAGGCACTCGAGGTGCACACATACGGGAGAGAATGGATGGATGGATGGATGGACAGATAGATGCATGCTGTGCGTGGCCTGTGTGTGCATCAGGTGGCGCGCCAGGCCATCAATCGGCCCCGCAATGCGCCGAAGGACTCTGTGCAGGCCCGGCTGTACAGATCCGTCAAGGTGTGGGCATTGTGCGCCGACCTGGTAAACCAGTGGGCAGGGGAGCTCAGTGCACCCACAAATGGATGGATGACACACACCCTCCCTCCGTCCCTCCCTCCCTCCCACTGTGTGTTTGTGTGCAGGAGGAGAACTTCGGTACGCTCGAGACGACACGGGCGTGTTACGACAAGATGATTGAGCTCAAGGTGGCCACTCCACAACTCATCATCAATTACGCACACTACCTAGAGGTCAGCAATCAATCAGTCAAGCAAAGGAATGAATGTAAGCCATCCATCCATCCATTCGCGTGTCTGTGTGTGCTATCTGTCCGTCAGGAGATGCGGTTCTACGAGGAGTCGTTCCGCGTGTACGAGAAGGGCGTGAATCTCTTCAAGTGGCCGCACGTCCACGACATATGGCTCTTCTACCTCACGAAATTCGTCGCACGATATGGCGGCAAAAAACTCGAGAGGGCGCGGGATCTTTTCGAACAGGTACGCCTGATGGGCACACACATGTGGTCTTTCCTTCCCCTCTCACTCTCCTTCTCCCTGTGTGTGTGTGTTGATGTGTCCATGCATCCATGTATCCATCCATTTATTGGATTGATGCAGGCTGTGTCCGATGCGCCCCCCAAGTACTCGAAGGGTCTGTATCTGCTGTACGCGCGACTAGAGGAGGAGTACGGCCTGGCACGGCACGCACTGGCCCTCTATGAGCGGGCCTGCCTCAGTGCCGCCAAGGCAGACAAATACACACTCTACCTCCTCTACATCGCCAAGGTCACCCACCATCCACTGATCCATCCATCCATCAATCAACCCATCCATCCGTCGTCGCATTCACTTGTGTGTGCACTGTGAGCAGACGGCTGAGCTGTTTGGCGTCACCAAGACCCGCAAGATATACGAAAAGGCGGTCGAAGAACTGGAAGACAAAGAGGTACGTGAAGGAAGCCAATGTCCATACCTAGCACAGCACACAGGGAGACAGACCGACCGACATGTGTGCTACCTCTGTGCCATCCACCCATCCATCCATCCGTCTCTCAGGTGATCATGATGTGTTTGAAGTTCGCCACATTGGAGAAGAGTCTCGGCGAGATCGACCGCGCCCGAGAGATATACAAACACACTTCGCAGTTCTGCGACCCCAGAAAGGAAGCCGAGTTCTGGAAGGTGAGCCACACACAAAACACCAAACCCAAATGCATCACAGAGATACACTCCTCCCTTCCTCCCTCCCTCCCTCCCTCCCTCCCTCCCCATGTGTGCAGGAGTGGCGTGAGTTTGAGGTGGCTCACGGCAATGAGGACACCTTCAGGGACATGCTGCGCGTCAAGCGGAGTGTGCAGGCCATCTACGCACAGGTTCACTTCAATGTGGCCGACATCGTCGCTGAGGCGGCCCCACAGCTGCCCCTCGACCCAATGGCAGCAGCAGAGGCAGAACTCAAGCAGCAGGTGCGGATGGCTTTATCGACGTGTATCACGTGGATGGATGGATGGATGTATTTTCAATGTGTTGTGTGTTGTGTGTCGTGTGTCGTGTGTATGTGCGTGCGGCAGGAGGAGGTCAAGAGGCGTCGCGCAGAGGAGGCCGACTTCGAGGTTCAAAAGAAGAGGAAGACACAGGTGGGTGCCACACGCATGGACGGATGGATGGACTGCACCCCGACACGAACTCACGTCTGTCTGTCTGTCTGTCTGTCTGTCGTTCTTCGTTCGTCGTTCTTTCGTTTGTTCAGGAGGAGGCCGACATCGCCGCAGCGCAGGAAGAGTACAGAAAGGTGCGCTGAGTGTGACCTTGCCAGCCAGACAACCGAAGCCAAACAAATGACCTCACGCCATTCATTGATGTGCATGTGGGTGTCGTCTTGTGTATTGTATCCCTCCCTCCCTCCGTGGTGGTGTGAATCGATCAGCTTCAAGAAAAGAGGCGTGTGGACGAGGCGAAGAGAGCCGTCGCTGGGGGGCCGCCATTCATACAAACAGACGCATTCCAGGTCAGTTGACCGGTAAACAGCAGAAGGACAACAGAAGGATTGCCACACAACATTCCGTGTCTCTTTCTGGGTTGTGTGTTCATCCCTCCATCAATGTCATTTGATTGATTAGGGCGGTCGATTGGGTTACATTTTCAAGATGGGACCCCATGGCTTGGGATACTACAGGTACGCACCCGTAACTACGCACCCGTAACACAATCCACCCACCCGCACACTGTCTGCCTGCCTGTCTGTCTGTCTGTCTGAAATTCTCCCCCTTCCCTCGTTCGTTCACTCAGGGACGCTGCAATGGTCGGCGAAGAGGCCGCCGAACAGCCACCAGCACCCACCGCACCCACCAAACCGAAGCCAACAGGTCTGCTACGCAGCACGACCAAACCAACACACACACACACATCCGTGCACCAACCAACAGGCGAGGAGATTGACATCGAGATGGACCTGGAGGCCTCTGTGCCGGCGGAGGTCTTCGGTTCGCTGGGCGAGCAGGCCGCCGAACAAAAGGCCATTGAGAGAGAGCTCGAGAAAGAGGCAAAGAAGCGACTCGACAAGGAAGAGAAGGAACGCCTGGCGGAGCAGGAGAGAGAGAAACAGAGGGAGAAAATGATGGGGGGCGCTGGGGCTGGTGGGGGGAAGGGCGGGCCAGGCGGGCAGGGCGCACTCGCCAGGTTGAGGGCCGGACAGTCCGGCAGGGGCGATGCCGACTGACTGTGTGTGACTGGCTGCCCATGCAGCGGATCAGTTCGCCACTCACCAGGCATGAGCGTGGGTGGGTTGGTCGGCTTTGTGCGGGATGCTGATCGATTCGATGATTGATTGATTGATTGATTGATGCTGACGAGTGAATGCACACGATGCGTGACCTGATTCTGATTCAGTCTTGACAATTGATGGATCCATCCATCCATCCATCATTCGACAAGAAAGAGACGGGCATCTGATTGTTCCCACGGTTGTCCACGCCACTCGACCGGCACCAGAAATGGATGAAGACGAACGTGGATCCGTTTTTGCGCCATGTTCTCGTCCTAGGGCTATAGCAGCTGATACCGCTACCGCTCGTCTGGGGCATGACGACTGCATTATCTGTTGATTCACTAATTGATGCATTGATGGATAAAGCGTCGGTCGCGGTGTGTCAATAGACATCTCCCGTCTGGTCCGGGTTGTATACGTCCGTAGGTACACACAGAGGTACAATCCATCCTTAGTAAGACACCCGTCCCGCCACGCCACAGCACAGCACAGCACAGCACACCACTGCCGCACCATGCACGAGGCTATGCACAAAAAGGCGGCAGCCATCTGCGCGTGGACGTACAGTACGTGTGATGTACATTTAGGCACCCACACGACAGAAAGCAGAGAGAGAGAGCAGATTACAACACAAAGCCGATTGCACCCACAAATTACATGCATGCACTGTACACGTGTGCACATCAAAACCCCGCCCACCGCCACACACTGCCCACTCACACACGAATGGAATTCATTCTCACATTCCCTGTTGGCGTGTGCGGACGACTGCCGACAGTACTCGCCACATCACGGGGAGGCTCGTGCTCGGGCTCTCCAGTTGCCGTAGATAGGCTGCGGACAAGTGATCCCTGTCGCGAAAACGCAGCCGGTGGTTCCCTCTCCGGCTGAGATGCGACGGGGGATGCGGGTGCTGCCGACGGCTCTGCTGCTGCTGCTGCTGCTGGTCTTACTGGTGGCTGCTGCATTCGGTTTTGCTCTCGGTGGGCGTTAGCGACCATTGAACGAGACTTCTTCCAAAACCACCAGGCGCAGAGACAGAAAACCACCAGAATCGCGCTCCACACGCTCCACACCAAAATCGTTGTTTCGGTCTTGTCATGGCCGGTCTCATATGAGGCAGACGGCTCGTCGCGTCGTTCAGTGCGCCTCCTCAGAGACTGGTACCGACGGTAATCCAGACGGACAGCGCCGAGAGAGCTTTCCTCAGAGGGGAGGTTGCGACCCGAATGGAGGCCGAGGGATCCGTCCTTGGCGTCATACTGCTGCTCGGCAACGGGGTGAGACCGCAAAGCGCGGCGGACCTGCACATACACGGTCGCCACAGGGAGGGATTTGTCGTGGCCTTTGGGCGGTGTCGTATGGCAGGTTTGCTTGCTTGCTTCCTTACCGATGAGGCGTTGACGTATGAGGGGCTGCCAGTCAGGGTAGAGGCGGCAAAGATCCGGGGGAGAAAGATGCACAGGCCGCCGGAGAGAAGGGTGACGCAGACGGCCATTTTCTTCAAGTTCAAGCCGCCTGGTCCTTCTTCTGCCCTGGGACCGTGACCAAATGCTGTTATTGCTGCGCCGTGCACCGACGGACTCACTGAGCCTCTCTCTCTCCACCTCTCCTCTTCTGGATCTCTCTCTTCGAGACTCGCGTCAGGGGGTCTCTCTTCGAGCCTCGCGTCAGGGGGGAGCGGTTTTACGAAATGTCCTAAGACGGCGATGATGCGCCCCACTCCTCAGGTCCGTAACTATCGTGAAAAGAAACAGTCAACTGGAAATCACATACGTGTGTATGCGCGACAAAGCAGCTGCCCTTCGTACGATCGCTTGGCCGTTTTCTATTTAGCGTCGCCATCTGGGATGCGACAGTAAGGCTGCTTGTCGCGATACCGCATGTGGGGCAAGGCTTGTGGGGCATTATGTCCATTCTGTTCGCCGGACTCGGGCTCCTCGACTAGATGAACGCCTCCCTCAGCTTCCCGGAGGAGGAACGGATCAGCCTCAGTTTTGCCTCTGTGCATGCACACCAGTCAAGTCGCACGCACAGTCACTGTGTCCAGCGTGTCAGTCGGTGTCTGTCTGTGCGTACTTGTCGCCAATGAGGGTGCTGTCGTCCACATCGTCGTAACCAGCGAGCAGAAGCCCCCGGCGCCCGATGTTCAGAAAGCGCCTGACGTCACCGACGGTCTTGAACTTGCCCTCATCAATTAGTGTTGACGGGTACATAGTGAATGTGACGGTATCGTCATGGAAGCGGAAGTAGCGGACATTCTCAAGCTTGATGCGGACCAGTGACCCTGGCGCCGGATAGTTTAAGCTGTCCGTCATTCTGCGCAGAGACCCCCTCACGGCGGATGAGGTAGAGTCAAACAACCTCCCGGATTACCGAACCGAAATAGCCCTCTGAGAGCAATTTTCGCCACCCACCTCCAGGGTTGCCTGCCGAACCGAATCCACAAGGAAGGTTCAACCTGCAGCAGGAGGTGCGTACCGAAAAGAGAGGACGAGAGTGACTGATGCGGGTGAAGTAAGGGGAAAAAGCCTGTCGATTGCCTATAGATAGCCTTCTGTGAGGCATCAAGGCATCTGGGGACGCCCAATGGCTGTATTCTTGTCTTCGTCTGCAGATCTGAGCATCAATACCGGAGAACATCATCACATTACGGTCTTTCCCTGGCGCTTGTCTACCTGAGATCCGCACCGAACCGAAAGCCCTTGTGAGTCACGTAGGGGAGTTGTCCTTCTACCGACCGTCGGCGACCGAAAGGGTTGAATGGTCTCACCCGCCGTCCCGCAGAGAGGCGCTCTTCAAACGGTTATAAGGGGCCCTAGTCTCCTGCGCGTTCCGCAGATCATCCTCATGCCCGAAGGGCAGGCAGGCACTCGCGGTCCATGGCTGTCGAGCCTCGTCTGGTGGAATTGGAGCGTGGCGTCGCTGCATCGTTGAGGAAACACGTGCGCGAAGAAGAAGAATCGCTCAGGCGCCACATTAAGAAGCAGACAGATTGGTAGGCGATGGTGACGAACGCCGTGCAATGTCAGCGTTTCGTGAGAGGGACGATGAATGTCTGCAGCAGCGGTCTTCTCGAGAGGATACAGTATCTAGTGTCGGGGAATATCCAGGAGCTGACTCTGCTTGCACCGCTGGGCGCGGACGTATCTGCTCACGCACACGTGTACGCACGCACAAACTGCAGCTGACTGGGAACACAACAAGGATGCTCTGCCTACCTGCCATTGATGTGCGTCCGTGCAGGCCAAGTGTGTCGCGTGTATGGGTCGATGTCGGTCTGGACGTCTTCCTGGAGTTCTCGTTGTCCGAGGCTGTGGCCTTCCTCACAGCCAAACTCGACAGACTCACCAGGTACGTACATACACACACAGCAGCACAGGCCCGAGTCATACGACCGATCATTCGAGTGCGTGTGATGCTCTCTCGGTCAGTGAGGTGAAGGCTTCTCTCGAGCGATTATCTGCTGTCAGAGCAAGACTGGAAAAGCTACAAACTGACGGCATACTATTCCGGCAGTAACGCACCTGCAGCCGAAACACGTGGTATGGTGATTGGCCGAATTGAAGGAGATGGTGTGGGCAAACGTGCCCGCAGAGTTCTGGCGTCCCCGGCTGAATGGCACGTGTCCCGTCAACCAGCAGCCCCGTCCCGTCGGCAGCTAGCGCCCTCGTCCTTATTGTGTCACCAAGGCGACGCCACTGCTGGTGCTGCTCGCGGTGGCGACGCCCTCCTAAATGTCGGCCGGCCTGAGGCGCGATCTGCCTGAGCACTGCGCGCCTCAGGCCGGTGACCGCATCACCAGCAATGAGCAGGAGTGACGTCCTTCCTTGGGCGAGAGAGAGAGAGAGAGAGAGAGAGAGGAGAGGGATAGATGGCTGTCTCCCCGGGGGGTGTAGATATTTATCGAGGTAGGAAGGGGATGGATGGATGTTCGATGACGCTCTGGGCGAAGTCTACAGTCTCAGTGCTGAATGCGCCATCATCATCATCGCTGACGAAGAGCTGGATTAAGCTGGAGGATGCACAATTGAGAACGAACGACGTCCCTAAAGATACACACATAATTCATTGGAAAACTGACGTCGGCCTCATGACTGGGTCGCGTCGGATGGCCAGTTTTCAGTGCAGACCACCAGTTTTCCGCGTGCTACAGTTTTCTGCAGAGCACCAGTTTTCCGGGGCCCGGCCCTGCAGTTTCAGAACGCAGTTTCCAACCCCCCTGGGTCAGTTTTCTCGCCATTGCTTGTCGGTCTCCGCCCTCGGCTGAGCCTGGGTCACCCGCCCCGTGGGAGACTCTACAGTCCGCCGTGTCGGTGACCCTCGTCACCGCACGCGCTTTGCACTGGGCTTTGCAATCACGCTTTGCACGGTGGTGGCATCCTCTCTAACGCTGCTCCTGCCAGCGTGCTGCCCATGACACGAACCACGGAGACGACGTCTCAGATTGTCCCCCTTGCACCTCCGAGCGGCCGCCAGACCCCTAGGGGCATTCTGATGGAATGAAGCACCAGGTCCTGGCCTCCGCCCGACCGCCACCGTCTACACTTAAACTTATCCCTGCTGCCCTGTCTTTCATCTTCCTGCCTGTGCTATTCGCGCTGGCGGTCGACACGGGGCGCCTCCCACCGCATGAGCCCCACCGAGGGCCATCGAGTAGGCGAAACCTCAACAGAATCTCATCCACGGGCGCACTCAGGAGACGTGGCTCGCACAGGAGACGGATGTCTGTCAGCCATTTCCACGGCGGCAGAGGCAGCCTGCCCGGGGAGATAATGGATTTCTTCTCAGCGCTTAACCCCGATGAATCTCGTGTCAACCTAGGTGCCTCTATAAGGAGAGGAAAACCAGGCTTCCTGCAGATCGACCAGCAACACCACCGGGCTTTCATCCAGGGGAGGAGAAGCGCGCCCAACCGAGGAGTAACGCTGCCCAGCACAAGAGAGACATCACCATCGGCAGCCCTGCCGCACCGACAGTGGACGCCCTATCCTTACTACCAGCCCGCACCCTTCTCTGCCCGAGGGCCCTGGATGGCCCCTGCCATTTATCCGCCTCTCCCATATTATACAGTGCCCTATTCATCTCCCCTCAGCGCACACCCACAGCCTTCTGTGCTGCAGCAGCAGCAAGGAAACGGCATGTCGGCTCGCGGCCGACAATCGGCGGGGAACGTCAGCAAAGGGACAACGGGGTGGTACGGCAACAGCAACAGCCGAGTGTTCGGCCATAGCTGGTTCACGCAGCAAGGCAACAGCCGCCATATAAGCACACGTGCGGACCCAGACAAACCTTCCAACGAGACACAGGATGCATCTGCTGCTCCGTCGCCCTCAGCAGATACCCCGTCTCCACCTACAGGAGAAGACAAAGGAGGCGCCCCCCCGCCATCCCCGACCAACAGCACAGCCCCTTCTCAGCCCGAAACACCACAGCAGCCACAAGAGACGGCGGCCACTCCATCCGGTGGGCAACCCGCGGCCCCAGCCAGCGATCAGCCCGCCCCACAAGCGCAGACGAATGCCAGTCCTCAGACGCAGTCGGCATCACCGCCACCTTCGTCAATGCCAGTGGCGGCCAATGGCTCGCTGCCGAAGGGGGACCAGCTGGCAATGCCGTATCTTCCCCAGCTGCCCCCCGAATCGGCCTCTGATGACAAGGCAGGCCAGGTCCGCATCATGTCGAAGTTCTGGCGGCAAGCGGCTATCGATGCCCCGAGGAAGAATGAAAAGCGGAAGCTCTACAAGGCGCCCGTGCCCGGAGAGGTGTTACCTCATTTGACGAGCAGCGGCGAGCTGGCTTTGCCACGACCTGTTGGGACGCTCTTCGACCCGAGGAGTCCTGAGTCATTTCGGTCGGCGTTCATCGGCCTGTATGACAGCAGCATGGTCAGCCAGCCAGCCGCCCAAACGCCTGCCTGCCTCTTGTGTCCATCTTTCTGTGTGGGGCACATCAGCCTGCCATGGACTACCTGCAAGAGCTCGACCAGACCCTGCAGCTCTTCAAGGGTCTGGGAGACATCGACAGAGAGATCAACAGGTGAGAGAGAGAGGAGACACATCTGGTATCTGGTTGGTTGGTCGCTTAGGTGATGTGTGTTGCTGTGTCGGTGTACTTTGTCTGTGTACACAGGCGTCGCGGTGAGATGCAGAATGACATGCTGGTTGAAGAGAATATGCGGCGGACAGTGCTGGCAGAGGAAGAAAAGGTACACAAAGATGGATATTGCATCCATGGAGCCAGCCAGATGGACACGGCACACACACACACACACATGTGCAGGTCAAAGCCGACCTGGACCTGGAGACCGAGTCCTTGCAGAAGAGCAGGACAGAGCAGCGCCAGCCATATGCATCCATCCTGCAGAAGATACCACACCCAGTCAGTCTGTCAGGGAGACATCCATATGTCAATCAACCATGACTGCATCTATGTCCGGTGTCCGTGTCCACACACACTATCAGGCGGAGACGCCGTCCCAGCGTGAAGAGCGCATAAAGCGCGAGGAGCAGGAAGAGGCCGAGATCGAGCGGAAAGAGCAGGAATATAACAAGAAGGCGGAAGCGCAGGAGCAAGAGGACAAGAACGCACCAGGTGGACACGCTGCTACTCGTGCTGGCATGCACTCAACCGCAGTGTAAGTCGACGGACGGACGGACGGATCGCACACGGCATCGATTACGGATGACTCAGCAACTTTGTGAGGCATGTCTACGTGACTGGATATGCAGGTTTGTCTGGGCGGCCCCTTTGCTTGTCTTGTGGCTTTGTGGCTGAGGCATCGATCGAGCAGATCGATGGGCAGATTTGGCGATAAGGCATTAGGTGTTTTCGCAGTGTGTGTAAGGACGGATGGCTGTACGAACGGGGATGGATGACTTGATGAACCCACGTGTAATATCTGAATTGCTCGTTACAAGTAACCAGTCATGGGCAGCTCCAGTCATAAGCAGACATACACGGACGGCATCGCCAGCTAAACCAAATCACGCTGGCAGAAATCATACGCTATCATCGACTGCCCTCATTCTCTTGAACGGCCACCTGCAAGATGCCAGACAAGTAATGTACAACCCAAGTCATTTCGAAGACGCTGATGTCTTGACGATTGAGTCAATGTATTGAATGGATGGAATACACAAAGTGGGCCAGCCCCTCAGTTCAGCAGCTAGTCATGTAGGCCGTCTATCCGACGACTGTCCTCGCCTGCCCATATCTGGCCAGCCATACTGGCCACCAGGATGTCTGTCCTGCCCTCAATGAGCGCCTCGGTCGCGAATACGAAGATAGTGCCATCGGTGAGCCACAAGTGGCCAAAAACGGTGTCGCCCTTACTCATCGCTCCTTGCCCATCAGCACAACGAATCGCCGGCGACCACCACGTGGGGAGTCGGTGATGGTCGCTGATGATGTAGTCGATGGGCAGCATCTGATAGATAGCACGCCACACATCGGCGGGTAGTGTGGTGTCATCAGGGTCGATGCGTGGCCGGGCGATTGCTTCGCCGTTGCCCAGCCGATGGGCCGACAGGTGCCCTTGATCACACACAGACCATCGGCAGCCGACGAGAGAGCGGTCACACGCGCCAGAACACCTCTCGGCGAGAAACGGAGCGAGTGGGCGGTTTGCCCAGGGCCCTCAGCTCAGACCAGAATGGGGATGATCCTTCCCACCTTTCAGGTTCCCTATCCTCTACACCAAAGACAAACAAATACAATGAATGAATGAATGAATGAATGTTCTTGTGGGGTGAATGAATGTCGTGGCAGCATGTCACGCGCAGACAACTGTCGTGCTGAAGAGCTGCAGCCTCACGAGTGAGGATCCTCCTCTGCCTTTGCCTGCGCACACATACCGACACATGAGAGCATTGATGCGCCTGCCCTTTGCCTGCCGTGTCTGTGACTACGATACGAACGAAAATCACCCAAGCAGAGGGGTGATTCGGGGCTGGAGAAGCAAATCACACACAGGGACAGCGTCATGGCCTTCCTCCCAGATCCTCAACAGGTGACATGGCCGAGTGGTCTAAGGCGCTACGTTCAGGTCGTAGTCCGCGAGGGCGTGAGTTCGAACCTCACTGTCACCATGATTCTCATTGCTTATATTCGAACTTTCAAATGCTTTGACGTCGTATCGATTGTCTCACTTCGCCGACTCGAGCATACATGCTTTCAAATGCTTTGACGTCGTATCGATTGTCTCACTTCGCCGACTCGAGCATGTATGGATGGATAGCTGCTGCTAATGGAGCGCTGCCGTGAAGAGAGAACAGAATCGACAAGGGGCCACCGAATCGTTTGTCATCTCGTTTGGCATGCAAGGGCATGCATGCAGACGGGGGGCCTTGGGCAAGCTTGCTGGAGGGAGATCGACGGGCAGGAGAGATGGAGGCCACCGAAAAGCGACAGGAGCGTCACGTGCACTGGAGATACAGGAAGCATAGCAGAACACATTCCACATTGGTAGCAGGTCACATGGCCGAGTGGTCTAAGGCGCCACGTTAAGGCCGTGGTCCGCGAGGGCGTGAGTTCGAACCTCACTGTGGCCATATTTGCTCGCGTGATGGTTGGCGTTTGTCATGTGTTGTTTCCAGGTTTGGTTTTTTGAGATCCGCGTGATGCACTGCTCGGTGGTCTTACACGTGCCGCCATCGTTGAGGCACGTAAGACCACGGTGCTGGCGGCGGCCAAGGTGCCTTCATGATGGAGCTGTGCAATGACCCACCTGACGGCTTCCTGCTTCAGACTACCCCGCTGGTCTGCCGCCCAGCGTGCTGCCGCCATGGCCTATCTGGAGCAGAAGGGCGTATGGCATTGCGACCTCATCAAGCACCAAGGCACGTCCTGACATGCAGCAATCACAAGCCTTACCTTGCCATGGACAGACATACACATAGGTGGAATGAGTGATGTCTGTTCTTCGCGCAGGTTGGCGTCTGTGGCTCAAGCTTGGCGACTTCGGCAACAGCCGGGAGGCTGCCAATACTTGTGGAGTGATGGAAGACGCCATCTCATCGTGCGCGGGAAGCGTATCTCACGGGCGCCGTGGCTGCTGCAGCAGCGTGACTGACACAAGTATTGATCTTGCTGCGTCGGTCCTTCCCCCACATGAGGGTCGTGGGTTTGGGTGGTTGGTGTGTTGTGTGGTGAGTGGAGTGCCATTTTGTGGCCTGCACTGTCTTTCATGCGGCGCCTGCACTGTCGGCTATGGACGTGTCTGATAGTATATATGCATATTTCGTCTTGCCTGTGATAGAAAGACTCCCACGGAGCGAGGACTCATCTGCACGGAATTGTGATGAAACCTACCAGACACGAAGCGCCCTGACATGTCACTTGAACGAGGTGGCAGAGGTTACGTAGATTGGACCTCACTAAATCTGACAAGTGGTAAGACCGATGCATTGACCATTGGTGGTGCGAGCACCCGTTGATCGATCTCATCCCCGTGTCTCGCCCTCACAACACACAACTGCCATGGTCAATTTTTATACACGAAGTCCATACATCCCCTGCCCCCCTGCTGGTGTGTCGACACACTGATCCCGCATGCACTGACTGAGCAGCCAGCCTGTCGGTTTGTCACCCCCTTTTCGGGCACACTGACCGACGGCTACGCTAGCACACGAGTATGATACAGAGACATGCACCCAGCCCCACCCAATGGCTCTCTTCCGACGTGTGTCTCTCTTCCACACTCTCCCCCCCCCCCC